GATAGGGCTCCAAGTGGCCTCTCCCTGAATGTTTGTTTAAATCACTTGGTGGTGGCAGTGATACCGTCCAAGACAAGGAGAGGAATTTGTGCCTTGGGGAAGTTTTTAACCTAAGCTGGTAAAAATAAGCTTAGGGGACCTTTCATGCAGGTCCCCACATCTGTACCCCAGAGTTCAGAGTGGGGAGGGAACCCTGACAGCACTGGTGAGACCTCATCTGGAATACTGTGTGCAGTTCTGGTCTCCCATGTTTAACTGGAACAGGTACAGAGAAGGGCTACTAGGATGATCCGAGGAATGGAAAACCTGCCTTATGAAAGGAGACTCAAAGAGCTTGGCTTGTTTAGCCTAACCAAAAGAAGGCTGAGAGGAGAGATGATCGCTCTCTATAAATATATCAGAGGATAAATACCAGGGAGGGAGAGGAATTATTTAAGCTCAGTACCAATGTGGACACAAGAACAAATGGATATAAACTGGCCATCAGGAAGTTTAGACTTGAAATTAGACGAAGGTTTGTAACCATCAGAGGAGTGAAGTTCTGCAATAGCCTTCCAAGAGGAGTAGTGGGGGCAAAAGACACATCTGGCTCCAAGACTAAGCTTGATAAGTTTATGGAGGGGATGGTATGATGGGATCAGTTAATTGCCAAAATTAGGCTATTAACTGATCTTTGACTATTAGCGGTAAATATACCCGATGGCCTGTGATGGGATGTTAGATGGGGTGGGATCTGAGTTACTACAGAGAATTCTTTCCTGGGTGTCTGGCTGGTGAGTCTTGCCCACATGCTCAGGGTTTAGCTGATCGCCATATTTGGGGTCGGGAAGGAATTTTCCTCCAGGGCAGATTGGCAGAGGCCCTGGGGGTTTTTCGCCTTCCTCTGCAGCGTGGGCCACAGGTCCCTTGCTGGAGGATTCTCTGCACCTTGAAGTCTTTAAACCATGATTTGAGGACTTCAATAGCTCAGACATAGGTTAGGGGTTTGTTACAGGAGTGGGTGGGTGAGATTCTGTGGCCTGCGCTGTGCAGGTCAGACTAGATGATCATAATGGTCCCTTCTGACCTTAAAGTCTATGAGTCTAAAGGTAATTGTGCTCTGTGGGAAAAGGCACGGGATGGACTAAGATGCAGAATCCCGACACTTCAGTGCTCACACTGCCTGAAAGTTCTGTTCACCTCGCCCGCTGGGGCGGCTCCTCCACCCTGCAACGGGCACCTGTGCTCCCAGGCCGGGTACAAGGATCCTGAGAGCTCACAACTCCCCTGCTGCTACGTTCACAGCTGTTATCAAGAGCTGCTACAGCGACTGGTTTCGAGTCACACTGGTAGAGGAAGGGTCACTACAATGACAGCACAGCAGACCCTCTGTCAGGATCCCGCATGGCACGGACAGCTCTGGGGCACTGCGGGACAGCTGCCATTTTCCTGCTACTTTCCAGCAGGAAATGCAGGCTGCTGACCCTTTGGGAGAACAGACGGGCTGGGAGCTCCAGGCCCGTTACCATAGGGGTAGCAGGCAGACCCCCCCCCCACCATCGCAGACGTTTAGTCTCAAGTGGGGGCCCGTTTCTTTGGGGGGTAGGGTCAGGTTTGTACTGAGTCAGAGGGGGCAGGGACATGAGACAGGCGAGCGATTGGCCCTGATCTGGCTGTCCCCTCCCCTCCCCCACCAGGAGAGCAGCTGCTCCCACCTCTGTAAGTGCAGAGACTGTGACCCTGCAGCAGCTCTGCTCTCCCTAGCATACGTACCTGGCCAGAGTCAGCTGGGCCTAGGAGCACATCCGATGCTACTGGCGGAGAGGGCGGGATCAGTCCTTATACCCCACAACCCACATGCAGGAAGGCAAGAACATTGTACCACTGGACAGATGAGGAAGTGGGCAGGGAGGGGATGGGAGGGACTCCCAAGATCTAGACACCTCAGTGGCTAACCCAGGAGTGACACAGCTTGCTGATGGGCCATCCTCAGCCCAATGCGCTCTCCCACGGCCTCCAGAGGCGCTCCAGGGTACAGCCTGGCAACTGGAAAGGCTTCTGGTTACACCCTCGGCCGCCAGACCAGGACATCTGCTATTTCCACACACCCCTCAGCCAGCGCCTAGGGCCCACGTCACACCACCAGCCACAAGGAGCAGACAGCTCCCTGCAGGCAGGTTGGGTTACTTACCTGGGCCCAGGTATTTTGCTTATCTGCACAGAGGTGAGGGCGAGGAGTTCGGAACGAGGGGAAGGAGTTCGAGAGGGCAGGCTGGAAGGAAGCCAGGCGTTCCCACTCGCCCCAGTGATCTCCGAATGAGAGGCAGGGCGCCATTTCCAGGATAAGATCTTTCTCTTTAGGGGTAAGAATTCACCTGGATCAAAGCTGGTTAGTGCATTTTGGGCCAGAGACCAAGTCCCCCATTCCGCAGGCACACGAGCGTACAGGGCACACGGACATGCATTCCTGTGCGGAGCTCTGGATTTGCAGTTTATAAAACAGGTGCCCAAAGGCAGTCATAGGGTTCAACAGCAAAGCCCCTTCCATGCCATGGCCTGATCTAGACACTGGTGTTTAGAGCACTTCTGTCACCAAGTGCTCCAGGCTCTCTGAGCAGCCCCCTCCCTCCATCATCCAAACCCCACAGCTAGAAAGGGCAGACTCCAGATCACAGACAAGAGGACTGGAGCCTTCGTGGGCTCCGGCCCCAGAACAGGGCCTTTACCCTAAGGAGACCAGGATTCAGTGGCCTGCGTAGGGCTCTCAGCCTTACCATGGCAATGTTGTAGCAGGTATTGAAGAGAATGGTGAAGTCAGGATCTTCCAGGCCTTTCTTCAGGTCTTTCAGCCTCTCAACCATCTCATCTCTGTAATCCTGGGCGAATCCTACATGTGAGACAAGCAGCAGACTTAGCAGAACTGCTCCTCGGCCGTGACTTCCCCACGTACTTTATACTTGGCACCGACACAGCACCTCTGACGTGGTCGGAGGTCCCAAGACTGGATCATTATGCCACTTGGCTGCCTGCCCTCCCCCGGGAGTTGGCACACTATCTTCCCATCTGAAACCGGGCTATAAAGGGAAAGTGACCTCACTCCAAATACCCCCCCCCTGCAAGCCAGGACTAAACCCAGAGTCTGAACTCCCAGCTCTGTGGTCCAGTCATGTTTGCGAACCAAACAAGGGTGAAACAGAACCCCCCCCCCCAGCCTCCCTTTTCCTCTGCTGTGTCCCACAGCTCCACTGACGCCTTCCAAGTGGAGGAGCGCCCTCTCCTGGGCAGAGAGCCTCCTCCTCAACGCCAGCCTCATGGATATTACAGGATTTGTGCTGCACAGCCCCAGACAGCTCCAGTCACAGACCAGGAGGCAGCTGTACTAGTCCTGTTTGTACAGCACCAAGACAAACTTTCATGGAGCCGACAAAAAAAAAAAAAAAAATCAATTTTCCACTGGGGCGGGGGGGAGAGGAGAAAACAAAAACAAAAAAACAAAAAGCCACCACCGAAAGGACGACTTCCTGGCTTCCCATCTGGAAGGCTCTTGTCAATTTCACTTTCAACCCCTGGGCTAGCTCCTGGAGGTGGAGAGGCAGGAAGCTAGGACTGTCTGCCTCTCTGGTACCTGGAGCTGTGGGGTCAGGCCGAGCACCAGCCCTGGGAGGCTATTGTCAATTTCACTTGCTGAGGGGACGGGGGGCAGGGAAGGTGGGAAGCTGAAAAATTCCACTGTGGTTCTTCCAGAACAGAGTCTCTTTAAATCTCAGGCAACATTTCATATTTTTGGTGTTTCATCCTGATTTGGGACAATTTTTTGTGGAAAAGGCTCCGCACCTCCCCCTGTGAGCTCTGGGTCCTAACCCCTCATGGCAGCACAGAGGACACGGAAGTGATTATTAGGACACTTGAAACCTGAAGCTTACAGCTCAGCTATTCAATGTCTTCAAGAGGGAAGAGGGCTATTCCTTTCCTTTCTGAGCACGGCCCACACAGAAGCAAGCATCAGCATCTAGTTTCCAGACACTCCCTGGTACCAGGCAGTAGCAGCAAAAGGGGGATTTCCCTCCCCACTGTCTGCCAGGCAACAGGGCTCCCTTAGCACTGGCTGGGGCAGACTGTCCTAGGTAGTGACACTGCCTCTCCCTCCTCATCCCTTTCGTTTACCTTCATAACACAGCTGTATGTAGAGTAGATAGTAGGCGCAGTCCACAGCACGCAGGCGAATGCTGGCAAGGGAGTCTGAACACCGGGGGGAGAACAGGGCAACCAGCACCCCGAGGTTATAAAAGGGCACCACAGTCTGAACAGGAGAGAGGGGAAACAGACACATGGGTGTTAATGAACAGCATGTCCTTGGTCTGCAGCATTAGCAGGGTGAGTGGAACAGGTCAGGAGTTAGCAAGGGAGGGCATATCAAGTGCGGTCCTGCAGGGATCAGCTCTGGGCCCGGTTCTGTTCAATATCTTCGTCAATGATTTAGCTAATGGCACAGAGAGTACACTTCTAAAGTCTGCGGGTGTTACCAAGCTGGGAGGGGTTGCAAGTGCTTTGGAAGGTAGGATTAAAATTCAAAATGATCTGGACAAACTGGAGAAATGGTCTGAAGTCAATAGGATGAAATTCAATAAGGACAAATGCAAAGTACTCCACTTAGGAAGGAACAATCAGTTGCACACAATGGGAAATGACTGTCTAGGAAGGAGTGCTGCAGAAAGGGATCTGGGGATCATAATGGATCACAAGCCAAATATGAGTCAGTGTCACACTGTTGGAAATTAAAAAAACAAAACAAAACAAAAAAACCCAGCAATGAATGAACATCATCGTCCTGGGATGTATTAGCAGGAGTGTTGTAAGCAAGACACGAGCAGTAATTCTGCTCTACTCCACGCTGATTAGACCTCAACTGGAAGATTGTGTCCAGTTCTGGGTATCACATTTCAGGAAAGATGTGGACAAATTGGAGGGAGGGAGGGAGTGTGTGCGCGCGCACACACACACACACACACACACACACCCCCCATGAGGAAAGATTGAAAAAATTGGTTTTGTTTAGGCTGGAGAAGAGAAGACGGAGGGGGACATAACAGTTTTGAAGTACATAAAAGGTTATTACAAGGAGGAGAAAAATTATTCCCCTTAACCTCTGAGGCTAGGACAAGAAGCAATGGGCTTAACTGCAGCAAGGGAGGTTTAGGTTGGATATTAGGAAAAACTTCCCAACTGTCAGGGTGGTGAAGCACTGGAATCAATTGCCTAGGGAGGTTGTGGAATCTCCGTCATTGGAGATGTTTAAGAGCAGGTTGGACAAACACCTGTCAGGGATGGGCTAGACAATACTTAGTCCTGCCAGGAGTGCAGGGGACTGGACTACATGACCTCTCGAGGTCCCTGCCAGTCCTACAGTCCTATGGACCAGTAGAACAGCCTGACCAGGAAGCAGGGGATTGAGTTTCCTGCTCTCTGCACCCCCCATTGTGAGCCAGGTGTCCTTACACTGCATTTACTTACACTGACATTCAGTTTGTCCCGGTAGAACTCCAGCAGTGTGGCACTGACCTCCAGTGCTCGCTCACGTTCGTGCTCTTTGCTCGACCTGATCCATGGGCCTAGATGCTGCAGAGGGAGACCCGAAGACAAGAACTCAGAGGTGGCTGAAGGCTTGTCCCTCGACCTCAGAGACTGTGGACTCGTACGACAGCCCATGGGCTATGGCTTCTACAGAGCATTGCATGGTGGGGCCTATCTGGGTTAGAGTGACAACCTAGGCAGGGGACACCGTTACGCTCAGGAAAAAACTGCAGTCTGAAGGATGGGCCAATTCTCACAACTCTGGGTTCAAGGAACTCCCAGGACCAAGTCTGCCAAGGGCAGATGCTGCCACCTTCCATCTCTCTACGCCACACGTGTCCTTTGGTCCACAGATGGCCCGACTGAACTCCCAGTCTATTCTGTTGAGCAAGGAGAGTATCGGGCACGGAGACTAGGGGTGCTGCTGTGTGGGGCTGAGCAGACACAGGCAGCCCAGCAGCCATTGTGGGGCAGAGTACCAGAGAGGACTGAGATATGGGCACCTCGCTCTAGGCCCCAAATACCAGAAAATAATGTTGAGAGAAGTGACCAGAAACCCGCAACCTCTTCCTCCATTTGCTCAGCATTAGGGTGGCGTGCAGCCGGCTAGTTGGTAGCCAGGAGCCTTCCTACTCTTCCCCCCCTGCCCCCTGAGACTCTGGTGCCACCCACCTCAAACATGCTCTGCAGTCCACGGGGAGTCAGGTCCTTCTGCAGCATGCTCTTCAGCAGGTCCTTAAGGGCACTGACGGTGTCGTGGTAGAGTGTCTAGAACGAGGAAAAGGCACGAGGTTATTGTCCAGGTGACCGCTCAGATCTGTCCCAATGGAGTCGGTCGGGCTACAGAAGGGCCCTGAGCTTTGCGTGAGGCCTGGGCTAGCAGCTTGCTGCAATAACTGGCATAACATGGAGCAGCAGCAGCTGCCTTCCTCTTGGGTACAGGGGTGCAGCTCACAGAGATACAAGGCCCAGCAAGCGAGGCCTCGCCATAACTGGAACTGCTTGGCCACGCGGTCTAGCGACCCTGTGGGGTGGAACTCGCAGCAGGGAATGGCTCCAGCTTAGACCGCATGGCACCTGCTAGCCGGGGGTTGGGACAGGCAGCACCGACGTTTGCTAGGCTTTAAAAAACCCTCCCCGTTCCGAAATCCAGAACTTCCGGACTCCCTAGCACTTCTCCAAGCGTGACAAGTGCCAGGGGGAGCTTCAGGCCCCAAGTGACGCATTCTGGTTCACTGAAGTTATCCCAGAAAACACACACAGGGTTTCAGACTCTGGAGGGAAAGTTTGTAGGAGCTTTATTAAAAGCTGGTTTGAACGGCCTGCCCCTGACCTCTGGTTAACAGGACAAGCCCAGAGATACGGCTTCAATTTCTGCTTTGCAGTTCATGTGAAAGCTGCCTTGTAACTGCAGTACAGAGCTTTAGGGGCTACTCTTTAGCGGCATGTTGCAATAGTTGGGTGGCGAATAACCAAGCTGTTATTCATTACAGCTCAGCCATATGAAGATCTTCAAACAACCCCCCCCCCCCCCCCAATCATCATTTCAGCCCTATGGGCTTTTGAAGGCCGCTCAGGGAAAGATGTCTTTTCCACCAAACGGCCAGTTTTCCGGGTGCCTGGATTGTTCTGATTTGACTCTGGGAACGTGGTATTCATACACATGGAATTTCTGGAGGCTTATCAGTGAATCGGTGTTTTGTGAGCAGGAGTTTGTGGGTCAGGTTTCCCCAACAGGCGTTGCACTGGTCAAGTGAAGGAGAAGTGATGCCCGTATTACACACGGTGCCCAGCTGCACTGGAAAGGAACTGCTGACAAAGAACTAAGTGGCTCATGGGACTGGCCTGGCACACACCACTAAGGCATCGGTTCCAGTCCAGTGACTAGCAACACCTCAACGCTGTTCTTCAGAACAGACACGGCTGCCGGACACCAGCTCTGAATCCCATTGGTGCTCTGCCAGAACAGGCTCCGAGCACCACGCAGACTCTCTAGCTCAGACAGCTCCCGTCCCACCTTAGCCCGTTCTACCTCCTTCTGCAAGGCGTCTGGCACGTGCCCATCTCTTTCCTTCAGGACGTCCAGCGGAGGAAGGGCCAGTACGCTGCCCAGGCAGGTATCAATCAGTTCGACGTGATCAGGCTCGCTCAGTGGAGGCTCCAGTAGGCTGACCAACGAGTTAAGGGAGCCAGCGAGCAGCTACATGCAGTTCTCTAAAGGGAGCTAATGCCACACCCGTCAGCCAATAGGAAGCATTTTAATTTGCAGTCTTGCTGACTTAGCTGCATAGCCAATTTCTCCAGATCTGTGTCGGGGGCAGCGACGTGCTGCAGCATTTTTAACTCTAGCTCAGAAACAAGTTCTCTCTCTCTCTAGCAGAATTTAAAATGAAGAGAGAGGCCCTTGGCTTTCTATTTTGCATGAAGAGATTTTAGTGCCGAGCCTGAGGAATAAGACCAAGATGGAGGGTTATTAGCAAGCTCGTAACACAGGTGGGGAGCGGGGGTGGGTACGGGCACTAGCTGGAAGTTTTCTGCAAGGATTGTCTCGATCCAAATTCCTGGGGTGCACCCGCGCTGGGCAGGCCCTGCAGGTCTGTACATGGTGTTCATACCACTCACACGAGACGGCAGCTCAAGCTGCCTCGGCAGGTGGTTTCTCATTCCACAGAGGTGGGAGGACAGAGAAAGGATACACCAGGTATGTGCAGGAGATCATGGCTCTCTGGCGAATAGGAGTTCTCAGCAAATCCAGAGGTTCTGTTTTGATAAACTCCTAGCATGCAAAGGGAGAGAGTTTAGCAGAAAGCCAGCACTCAGCACCCTCTCAAAGACAGCTTGTCCTGAGGAGACCACAAACATTTGGCCCTAGAACACAGGCCATGCAAGGTCCTGGAACAACTCCGCCTCCACAGAACAGCCATGAACCCTGCCTTCCCAGTCCCGAGCCAACAGCCGCACGCAGGAGACCACTGAACCCGGTCACCACGCCTCCTTCTCACCCGCTCATTTGATACTGTCAGCAAACCATGCGACCATCCTCCACTTCCAGTCTCTACATGCCTGTTCCCAGTCTGCACTAACTCCCTCCCTGCCCCCCCCGGGAAAGCGGACAGACGCCCAAGAACCTCCCCCCAGAATCCCAGGCTGAGGCAGAGTTGTGTCTCTCTAACCCAGCCCCCCAGTCATGACCTAGGTCTCAAGAGAAGCAGCCCAGAATTTCCTCTTACCATCATCTGAGCTAGGAGCTCGGCTTTGCGGGAGAAGACGAAGGCGTCTGACTGCGCGCTGTTAGAAATGGCCTGGCTGATCATGCAAATGCTCCGAATGAGGCACAGCTTCAGCATCAAATCCTGAGTGCAGAGATTGCAGGACAAGCAGTGAGGTGCAGGTTCAAGGCCAGGTGTATCTACCCCACACCCTGACTGGGGGTGCACTGGGCTGGCAGGCTCAGCCACCCCTCAAAAGGGGAGCCCAGCGGCTCTTTCCTTGCCCCAGTGTGGGCTCCCAGCTCTGCTTCTCGTCCAGGCTACAGCCGCGGAGGCTGGTCTACACCTAAAATTCAGGTCTATGTACGACGTCACTCAGTGCTGGGAAAGATTTAGCGCCCCCACAACAGTACCTAGGTCAACTTCGTTTTAGGTGTAGCTGTGGCAAGGTTGACAAAAGGATTCTTCTGTCAGCCTGGCTTCTGCCGGTCGGGGGCAGATTACCTACATTGACCGAAGGGGCTCTCCTGTCAGCGTAGGAAGCGTCTACACGATGACGCTAGAGTGACACAGCGGCAGTGCTGTCACTGTAGCATGGACATCCCCTCAGCTAGCGATCTCCTGATCCGAACGCAGCCCCCACCCTGCCAGCAGGGGGTGTCCCAAGAGACGCCTTGCACCTCCCACCTGGTGAAGTGGCACCCAAGGACAAGGTGCACGTGCTGGAGATTCAGAGCGCAGAAGCGGCCACCTTAAAGGGAGACTTGTTCCGAGACCAGTGTTTTTAAACTAAGAGCTCAAGAATCTGCATTTTGGACTAGGCCTCAGAGCCTCCAGAGGAAACACCACGGAGCGATCCAGCAGCAGGGCTGAGACGCACTCCTCACCAGCAGACGTGTCTCTGTCCATTTCTACACACTCTGCCGTAAAGAGCCACGCTAACCCCCAGGCACACGGCAGGTGGGGACGTTCCTCGCACTGCCAGTGGCTTTGCCAGTCACCCCACAAAACAGCAGATAATCCCTTGCAGCACCATAAAGGGACTGCCATATTTAGAGGGCCCCGATCCCTTTAGATTCCAGGACATGGGATAACAAGTACTAAGGCCTGGTTCTCCTCCCAGGTACACGCAAGCTGAGACAATGCCACAGCTCCCCAAATGAAGGCACAGTCCCAGCACCCCCCCTTCACCACTCCCCTCCCCGGGGACCCTATGGAGCCAGCAGCGTGTTTGCCAGTGAGCGTCCCGACTGCTCAGAGCGTGCCCAGAAAGCCGTGGTACAGAAGGGGTTAGTGCCAACAAGAAACCAGAAGGAAAAGACATTAGTGAGTCTGGAGAAGGAGGTGCTCTGGCCTGACATTTTAATTGAGCTTGACAAATGCCATGTTTTTGCTCTTCAGTCTTTGATAGTAGCAGAGTGCAGCTGCCCTCCCCAAAACAGTGACCGGGGTGTCTGGCCACTGAACACCTGTTCTGGGTGGTTAGGGACTTTTAGCCGAGCTGTGAACCGTGGGTCATTAAACTTCCCCTAGTTACATGCCCACAAGGCTGGGGGGGAGGGAGGGGCGGCTGACTGCATGTCAGCGCTGCTCAAAGGCGCTGGGGTGGGGGAGAAACACACACTAAGGTCTAAGGAGCGACTGTGCTGTGGAAAACGGCACATGGGCTCTGGGTTATTCTCTGCACAAGTTGAACACACGAGACTGACAGACCCATCAACGCTGCCTGGAATCTGAGAGCCAAGCTGGGGTGTCTCCTTTTCAGGCAGTCACCAGAGAGGTTCGAAAAGGCAAAGGAGGCTGCCCAGGACACCTATGCAGCCTGGTAGCTTTCAGGGAGTTTGCACAGTAACCCTGTGCCAGAGGAACCCTGCTGGTGGCACACAAAGCAAGGAAGAGACCCCAGCTCCCCCCTGCTGACTGTGCAGGAGCAGACTTCAGTGACTACAGCCAGCCGAGCTGGAGAGCGTGGGGGGCCAGTTTAGTCTCTTCCAGACCAGAATCAGGCTTTAGGCTCTTGGCCCCTCCAATAACAAGCACTCGGGCACAGGGGGACTCTGCCGTTCAGCCCTGTGATGGTCTCATTCCTCCCCGATGCCAGACTTCCCTGCTGAGCACTGCACAGAGACCCCAATCACGAGCACTGGTATTTAGGAAGCTACTCGTCTCCTCTCTAGAGTGATCAAACGGAGAGACAGAGACAGGCAGGCAGAGCAGAGAGTAGGTCAGATTTAATGCCTCACACTGTACCTTGGTTTCTACCTTTATTCCCAGAACCTGAACAAGTAAAAGAAAAACACGTTAGCGAACACTGACGGGAATGGCTTCCTCCCAAGACACGGCACGAGCCCATCCAGGGGTGGGCCTGGGCCCTTTCAGATGCAGCATTTGCACACCAGCTAGGCTGCTCTCACTCGTTCACACGCACATGGGCAGGTCGCCAGTGAGCTGCTTCCTCCCTGCGGAGGGGACATTCGAACCACCTACCCTGGTGTTAAAGTAGTGGAAGACGTTCCTGAGAATGTCGGCTTCGATTCTGGACAGCACGAGCTCTTTGGGGGCATACCTCGCTACGTAGCCATAGCATAGGATCAGGGTGCTCTTTATCTTCTCTGCTTCGTTATCACTGCGGTCCTGAGACAAGAGAGGAAAGAAGGGACCTGTTGGGCCACCCAGTCGCTCTCCATGACAAGCAGGACTGGTCCCTACAGGACATTCAGGCCTGTGGCCAGTCTGTCTGTACATGCCCCGGGATGGGACCTCCCCCAGGGAGGGGGGGCTCAGATACTCCTGGTTCCCTCTGTATTATTTTCCTGTCCATGCTGCTGTTTGCAGCTGTCCCGCAGAGGTCATTACCACGCCGTTCACATCCCTTTGCCGGAGTAACGTGGTTTTAATAAGACATGGGCCAAGAGAGCTCCGTGGCAGCCCCTAGACTCCGCCTCCAGCACCATCCGCTGCAGGGCCATCAATGGACTGATTCTAAACAGCCACCAGTTTGCAGAGCATGTGAACCCGACCTAGGAGTATCCACGTGAGAGAGAGACCGGCTGGCTGAGAGTTTGGGTTCTGTGCACTAGAGTTACTGTCAGCAGGGTGGGTTAGCCAGAGAATTCTTTCCAGCTGTTGACATGTCACATGCCCCATACCAAACTAGAAAGCGATTCTCCTGCTTCCTTTGCTAACACCTCCGCCATGTACTGCCCTCACTTTGCTCTTCACACACACACACACACACACACACACACACACACACACACACACACTATTTGACAACTGTAGTTTCTGGTGACTGCCATTAGGTGGCGCACACCGATAGCCTGCCACAGGTGGGTATGTCGGTCACTCCATGGAGAGCAATCTACTTTCCTCCCAAAAGTGCAAATTCTGGGTTTGCCATAGTGGGCTGAGTCAATGGTCTGAAGCAGCAGTTCTCAGACTGGTTGTTTCCTTGGGGCTCCTTTCTCAAGAGGTTTCACTGAAGGATGTGGGGGGCTGGGGTGATGGGCCTTACCCAAGATGGTCCGGAGAGCCACTGTTCTCGAGAGGGGTCAGCGCAGAGTAACCTTGGCACAGCTGGGCCCCTGGAGCGAAAGCACTGCAAGTCCCTCCCCTCCCAGCGGGAAGAGCAGTAACCCTTCACAGGCTGCTCTTTACGAGTGGAAGAGCTTCCGCGTCTCTGCAGAGCGGCTTGGCCACCGCCAGGACACACGGCCCTCCTGCCTCGAGACGGGTTCCTCACCCCCATTACGCTGTGTGCACCTTTGGCCAAAATCAGACGATTTACCCCTAGCCTAGGTCTGTCTGGCGCGTGTGAAGGGCCCTGGATTTGGGACCAAGGTGCACAAAGCGTAGTGGGGGTGAGGGCAGGAGACTACTCTGCCGCCCTCCATCGGTAGCCTCCACACTGCTCAGGACTTAAGACATTAACCAGACCTTGTCAAGGGGGGCGAGCCCAAGCCAAGTCCACTCTGCACTCTGCATGCCCCTGGACAAGTTACATAGAATCCTAGAAGATCAGGGTTGGAAGGGACCTCAGGAGGTATCTAGTCCAACCCCCTGCTCAAAGCAGGACCATCCCCAACTAAAAAGGGCTTTGTCAAGCCGGGCCTTTGTCCCTGTGCATCAGATTCCCACTCAGACGGGGACAGTGCAGATACATTTGAGGGCAGGCTCCGGCTGCCAGCTCTCGTGCACTATCTAGTCAATCCCTCCCCCCTGGGGCCGTGCGAGGCTAGGGCCCACACCCTGCTCTGAACAGGTAACGCACTGGTGTTATTCACCATCCATCCTCAACCTCCCACCAGACTCTCTATTTGGCAGATGCAGAAACTGAAGTTGTGGCTTCTCCGAGGCCTCCCAGCAAGGAAGAGGCAGGGCTGGGACTGGCGTTCCTAGGAGGTCCCAGTTCCCAACCCTCTGCTCATTCTGCTCCTCCCTGCGGCCAGCGACACTCCTGTGAGAGCCGCAGGGACTGGGCAGCCCCCGTGACATCCCCTAGAGACACAGGGGACTAGGGCTGTTGAGTGAGAACAGCTGCTCAGGTGCGGAGATCGGACTGCGACGGGGCTCTGGAAGCACCTACCCCATCGCCCCACTCCAGGTTACTTGGCCCTTTTACCTTGAAGATACTGAACAGTCCCACTGATTTTTTGAAGACGTCGGATTTGACGAAGTCTTCTAGCTTGGCCAGGGTTTCGTCCAGGTGGTTTATTGCACAGATCCCAAAGCCGGAGGCAAGTCCCTGGAGGATGGGGAGAGAGCTATTAATTCACCAGCCCTGACTGGCCGGATCAAAACCCAGTTCTTGGTGGTTTAACTCCAGGCTTTCAAAGCGTGCTCAGCTGACGGGGGGCCTGGCAGCTCACGCTCTCCACGGAGCAGAGGCTCGGAGAGGTCTTTATATGGGGGTGCAGCTTGCAAGTTGGGCTGAAACTCCATAAACCGTTTATTAAAAACTGGCCCTTACTGGAACTGCGTGTGATCTAAATCGAAGCCAGTCACCGTTAACTTAGGTCTGTGCTGCCCCTAAACAGGACTAGATGCAGGGTAACATTCACCCCGGATGCATCGGAACAGCACAAAGTAACGCTACATGGCAGCTTACGATAGCGACAGAGACTCCTGTACCCAGGTGACAGCGCAGGGGAATTCAGGGAGCCATGTAATCAGCAGGGAAGAGACTACCAGAGGCAGGCACCCGAGGGCTTGTTTCCTCGCTCACCCAGAACACTGCACGTCTAGCAGCCAGGTGCTAACATGGATTAAGGGGTTACTCTGACGGACCCACACAGCACACCTCTTGGGAGTCCAAGCGCTTCGTGTGGTACCTCATATTCCTCAGAGCCCCCCTGTACTGAGCCAGCCTGGTCCTAACATAGCTTCGTTATGTAGTCGTCTGGCAAGCCCCGCTCCCGCCCAGACGCTAGCTGGAGCGGGTAGGAGACAGCTTTGGGTCTCAAACGAGGCCGGGCGCTAAGCAGGGATCATTAGTGCAGCGCTGGGGAAAGGGTAGGAAGCAGCTTTATCTCCAGGCCACCTCTGCCTGGCCACTGAGGCTTGAGCCAAACCCCGAGGGAGACGTGAAGAGGTGGAATAAGCTGGTTATAAAAGTCCTGTGGGGACAGAGGGCTGGAGCCCGCACTAGTTTGTTGTTCAGTGGGTGTGCGACACGCAGAGGGAGGCAGGCATGTAGCGGGAAAGCCCCTGTCTCACTGGAGGGCATGGCGGTGCTGTCTCACCTCCCTTTCTGCTTCCTCCTGGTACCTGGCTGTTTCAAGCAGCTCTTGAAGCTGATTTTGCACCACCTCCTTGTTTGAACAGACCCCAAGCGCCGTTCCAATGCACTTATACAGGAAGTTCTGGGAGACAAGAAGAGGAACATTGTGTTCTATGGAACCAATACACCAGCAGAGCCCTTGGGAGAGCAGACATCCCTTAGCTTCCAGCTACCCTGCAATGCAAGCCACGGCGCAGGAGAAGATCACACATTGCTCTGACCCCTCTCAGCACCTGAGACTCCAACTGGCCAAAGTGTCACTCTCGCAATGGAGGAGTCACAGGATGACAATACGACAGGCCACAAGAACCCAGGATACATCGGCGCAGGAAGGGACGGCATTGTAGGGTAGGGGGCAGTCAATCAGAGCAGCAGCTGCCGGCTCAGGCTACAGCAGGGAAGCGCCAAGTTACGTTTTTAGCTCAACCATTCAGATGCTAGAACCAGCTGCTATCACTGCAGCTAGCCCATGGCATGTCTAGCCACTCAGTGCACGCTCTAACCCAGGCCTGCCGGCCGGCCTGCTGCCCTCAGGGGTTTGGGCCTGTGCACACAGAGCTCTGGAAGTCTCCAGACAGCCAGCCCTGCTTCAGCACTCGAGTACCACGGCAGAGACAACTATTGCAATTCATTGACACCCCTCGGCAGCTCTGGGCTCCAGCTATCACATGTATGCAGGACACTCAGGTCAGTCTCTGCACCCCTCACCTCACCTTTCTCCTCCCACCACAGCTGGGTCTGTCCCAAGCCCTCACCCTTCGTGCTCTTCGCTGCCCAGGAGGCGCATAGCCTCGGTGACCCTCAACCCCTCACCGAGGCAGACCCCAGATCCTGCTCTGTTCTTCTCCAAAAGATCGCCAAAGCCACCCACACCTCCCTGGCTGCACCCACGAGACCCTGGCTGCCTCACGCAAACATGGGCCAGTTCACCACAACTAGAGTAACTGAACCGTTGGGTGATTCCTTGACTCAGTGGCCCAAACCCCCTTCAGAGGCGGCACACAGCAAAGCACGGCCGTGGTGGCACCGCTACCGCCACTTCTTCCAAATGGCACCTAGAATCCAAGTCATCTGCTGTATGCCTCAGCTGACCAAGATCCCCCATCCCCTCCAGCTGGGCCTGGCTGTGATCAGATGCTTCCCTCTGACTGCCAGAGCACCCCCAGGGATACAAGCCCAGGAAAACGACGACAGACCTTCTCGGAGGGAAAGCCGTTGTAGCTGTTCAGCTGCTTGCACATTTCCGTGCTGAACGGACAAATCCAGGCGTTGTCAGAAATCGCCGTCAGCGTCTCCCGGAGGAGCTGCAGGGGAAAGAAATGGAGAGAACGGATTTCTAGTCAGAGTCTCACGGTGTGCGAGAAGAGAGGGCCACGTGCAGCCATCCCCTGCCCAAGTGCTGGGCGTGTTTAAGCCCCTATTTAAAAGCTCAGTGCTTTGAGTGTCTGAATTCAAACACCCTGTGATGGAGGCACCGTTCAGAGCACTGGGGCGCATGCAGGCTCCACTGTGCCGGAGGAGGCAGGGCCCCAGAGGTTAGCGATGGTCATTGTCTGAGGCCAGACCTGCTAACTCTACTCTGCCTCGCAGCTATTTCCTTCCAGCTCTCCGCACAAACGCTGGTGCTCCTTGGAAGGAGACTGATTGAGGAGTTCTTCCCGGAGAAGAGCGTGCTGCCTCTTCCTGGGAGCAGGAGGAACCCCTGCACGAGTTCCTGGGTTGCTCCAGGCCTTGTTTTAAACTTTAACAAATCCCCTGGGCACACGCTGTTCTGGGATTCGTGCTCTCTGGCCGGCCAATAAACCTAGAGATGAAACGGCTCAGGTACTTTCCCTACCAGGCCCTGCCTGAACCCATCAGCAGCTACGCGAACCTGAGCCCCGTCATTTGTCCGAGCGGAGACCCCAGAGACGTCTCTTCAGAGCAGTCAACGGCGACTGAGGACACGTAACCGCCTCGGAGCGGGAGCAGAGGTCTGGGTTCTAGGCCTACAGCCAGACACATGGCTGTGCCTCTGCACATGGCTCCCTCTGCCACTCTAACCCTCAGAGGCGGCACAACGGCCTCTTGAGCGGACCCAGGGTCTCCAAGTGCTCCCGTCTGCTCCCCTGGACCCCCCCTCCCCCATGCGTGCACATTCAAACACACCCCATTAACAATACCGTCTCTTACACCCCTTTGAACACTTACCAGAAGCAGCTTGTCTTCCCACTCCTTCAGGGACAGGGATTTCTCTGTGTTTGCTACAAGAAAAACCAAACCATTCATGTGTGCTGGTTTCAGATCGGCACCCCACAAAGCCCAGCGTGCAGCAGGCAGAACGGGCTCTCCTGGGGATCGCAGAGCAAATGCTCCAAACACAGCAATGGACAAGTTACTAGTTCTCAGAACAAGGCTGGTGTGTGGATAGGACAAGCAGCAAGGGGCTTAAATTGCAGCAAGGGGGGGTGGGGTTAGGTTGGACATTAGGAAAAACTTCCAACTGTCAGGGTGGTTAAGCACTGGAATCAATTGCCCAGGGAGGTTGTGGAATCTCCATCACTGGGGATTGTTAAGAGCAGGTTGGACAGACTCCTGTCAGGGATGGTCTAAATAATATTTAGTCCTACCACGAGTGCAGGGGACGGGACTAGACGACCTCTCGAGGTCCCTGCCAGTTCTAGGATTCTATGAATGCAGCATGAAAAGGAACCCAGTTACCTTTGATTTAACCCAGTTTAAGTGCAATATTTTGGGAGACATAAATGGAGTCCAGTTATCAGTTCCAGCAGCAATAACGGTCATTTAATCAAGGTGCCAACTGAAGGGCTTGCAAAGAATGTGAACTTACGCCAAAGAACCTCTGCTTTTTGGAATGGCGGGTCACACTGCCCCCAGCCCGCAGGTGGGAGTACTGAGATTATTTCACTGAAGTGTCCCTACCCTCTGTTAGCCAGAAGCTGGGAATGAATCACTTGATGATTCCCTGTTCTGTTCATTCCCTCTGGGGCACCTGACACTGGCCACTGTCGGATGACAGGATACTGGGCTGGATGGATCTTTGGTCTGACCCAGGACAGCCATTATGTAAGTGGAAGGACTAGCTAAGAGCAGGAATGCAAAGCCCCACAGGAGGCCACACCTTCATGTTAGGGTGGGCCAACATGAAGGCTGCATCCAATCAGGAGTGTCAGGGCGACACCCAAACTGCATCAGAGGGCATCACTAACACAGGCACGGCCTGCTCGTTGGAAGGAGCGCTGCACGCTGGGAACAAAGGAAGGAGACGAGAGTTTGCAGCGCCATGTTAAAAGGTACCAACCGACCCCATGGGCTGAACTGCAGAATCCTGGCCGCACCTCCCTGCCTTGGCCTTGCAGGAACTGCGGGGATCAGAGGATAGGTGCAGCCTAAAATTGGCCAAGTGTTTCTCTTCTGGGGTTTTCTAGATTTTGCTCCTCAAAGCTCCACAGGCTTCAAGGTGTGGCTGGCTTCCCGATGCCTGGAGGCAGGCTTTTCCGGGACACAGCACTAAGTCAGCCCCGCCTGACAGGGCGGGACGGCTGCCTCCTGGAAGCTGCACACCGAGGCTGCTGTCAGAGGCAGGAGCAGCTCGTGGGTTGCTTATAGTGATCTGCGTGGCCTCTTCATGTTTGAATAGTTACAGTTGAATGCAGAGTAGTTCCAGACTGCTGCCCACCCCCGCAGTACCCGAGTGCAGCGGCACACCTCAAGAGCAGCCTTTAGATATCGCAGGCTACGCAAGAAGAATCTTTCGCTCGTGGCCCCATTAATGCCTTACCTTCCAAGTGCTCCACTAAGGGGGGAATCTTCTTATTCCACAGCTTGCCCAGCATGGGATGGATATTAAGGTGCAATACATTCAGCAGACGCAGAGCAGCTGCCCCCCGACCATCCCCTAAATAGGGCTGTGAAGACACAGTCTGGGGAAGAGAATTACAGCAGGTGAATTCACAGGTGTGTATATAATTCCTACACACACTGAAAGGCTACAGAAAGATGTGGAGGTTAAATACGGCTTCACGCCCCTCCCCCAACCCAGAGCAATTGCTTTAGCCATCACAGAAACACCAGCAGCCAGGACAAGCGTGCAGCTGACAGTGGGGAGATGGGATGTTCCGCCAAGGACGTTTCCTGAGACGTGGGAGGAAGTTTCCAATATCAAGGAGCGGAGGGGCTTGGTTTTTAAGAAGCTCCTGGGTAACGTTTCCGAGAGTGCCCAAGTCCTGTTTTCATAGGTGATTTAGGCACATGGAACCCCAAGTCACTTATGAAGACAGGATGTTTTTGAAAGGGTTTCCCCTGGCTCATAAAAGGACGGACAGACTGCAGAGAACTCCCTCAGGAGAAAGGACCAAGCTGCTGCTCCCAGGATCAGAGCGCCTCCAGCTCAGATTACAGTGACAGGCCCAGAGGAACGATTATCCAGGCTTTCACAGCACCCCCGGCTTGGAGGCACCTGGGTCCCGATGCCCTGGGCAGGGTAGTCGGGGGAGGTGGGGGCACTAGTACCAGGGCAGCCCATTCTTCCCACCCTCTCAAGGAAAGAAAATGCCACCTTCTTTCAGCACACAGAGAACCCAGCCAGACCAGCCCCAACCTCACTTACCAGCAGCCTCGCCATTAGAGCACACGGTGATGGCAGGTTTGCTACAAATACAGAAACAAGTGTCAGATGGGAAACGTGCTCACCTACAGCCTGAGCACAAGATTAGAAGCTCTGGACGCTCAACACTTCCTCTGCTGGAAGCAGGCAGAGTCTGCCCAGGAGAGCAGCCGCCGATACAAACCATGTGTGTCGTAGTGGATGAGGAAGGTAGTCTCTCCCTCCTCTTGTCTCTTCGTAGCCAGGTGCATTAGGCTCCTGCAGAGGGGAGTCAGGGCACCGGTAAACTCTATGGGGGTCACGAACTCCAAGAGATATGGCCAGAGAACCTGTGGAGAACAAGTTGCTCATGTTTGTCTAGCACCAGTAGTGCTTTACAGGGGAACGTGATAAGGTCCCTGCCCAAGGGACTGAACCGAAAGGACTCCGAGAGCCCCATGAGAAACGGCTGACCACAGGGATTGGCTGGATGGGAAGGGGAGGGGGGTTTCCACTGAGGTGCACCATCCGTGTGGCATCAAAGATGGAGGAATAACGGTCTGAACATTCACCTCCTGAGCCACCAGTGCTCTCTTCAGGAAGGACAGAGCCCTTCAAGTTGGCCAGCACCTTGTACACCTGCTCTGAACCTGGACGCTAACGGACATCAAGGCCTTCTCATCTTCCACCACCTTACAAACTCATCCGAGACAGTTCCTTGTTTAGAGGATAGAAATCCAGATGCCCTCAGCTTAGAGGAAAGAGCAACTGGACTCCGATTGTCACCAAACAGCTCAGCGAAGAGCCGATTTGTTCTCTTCTCCGACGAGAGAGCCCGGCTTTGGGACTGCAGCAGCCTGACAGCAGATTGTGCAGGACAAACAGCATCCCCGCACTGGCAACGAGGCTGCTGCTAAGTGAGGTTGGGGCTGGTCTGGCAAGGCCCAGCTCACGTGCTTGGTAAGGCAGGCGGTACGGGCTTCAGACGGAGTTGAGCTACAGTGCTACGCAGACTCACCTCGTCCATCCTGTCGACAGTGGTGCTGATGAGAAAGAGCGTATTGACGCTGATGCTCTGGACACTGTCGCTAGTTAGGTCATCAGCTTCCGGTGTCTGCTTCCTGGGGTGCTGTAAGGGAGCAAGAACGCAGGTTAAGAGAGGAGCACAGCTGTGATCAGGCCCAGGAAACAGGCCAGCTCCCTCTCCACTGGGGCTGCACCATCACCCCCTTCCCCCACCAACACAGGCTCACATTTTCCAAGCCATCAACACAGCATGCTCAGCAGATGGCAGCGCTACCCTGGGATCACAACAGGCCCCTGCCTTCCCCGCCCCACGCTAGTTTGACTCCTTGCACATCAGTCACCTGGTCTCTGGAAGGAGCTGCCAGAGGGCGCCCATTTTACTGACGGGAAAGGAAGCACTGAGTGCACGGCCTTTTTATTTATTTTTAAGCATCTGTGAATTTTGGGTGCCCGACTTGACACCTTGGGCTTTCCCCGATGCGAGCGCCCCCCATTCCAACCGATGCCTTGGGGCTGCAGCAGCCAGCCTGGCACCACGTCTCGAGTGGACACTTGAGAATTTGGGCCCAGATGACTAGGCCCAGGAAGCCCACGAGAGGCAGGCACGGCCTAACCCTGGCCTTTTACCTGGGTGCTCCGGCTTCCCCCCCAGCTTTGGGCTGAAACTAAAGGAGGGGAGAAGCAGTTGCCAAGACCCCCACCCCTGCTTCCCTGGCCAGTCTAGCTCAGCTCTTCCCTTGTCCTGCGGAAGGAGTCAGGGAGGAGCCATTGAGGAAGGAGGAGGGAGGAAGTTCCAGCAATTGTGATGCAAGACGCTTCAGCGTGTGAGCAAGGGACTGCGTGAGGGCGAAGAGACCAGAGGACTGGCAGGGACAGAGCTCACGGGGTAGAAGAATGCGCAGGTGGAGAATTGACCGATGGGGGATTGCCCACCTTGGGACCACATCTATAAATGTGCCAGCTCCTCGGGCTCTTGGCAGCACCAAAGTCGGCAGCTCTGTGGTGCAAGCAGCCATAGAAACCCAGGCTCCCAGGCCTGCAGAGCTCCACAGTCCAGTCTGCAGCCGAGAGGTCCCTGCCAAGCTAGGCCACCATCTTCATCAGCCTGGGCTGGCCACACTGCGCTGGACTCTGATCTCCACAGCCACACCTCTGCTCCCAAGGCAAGAGCAGCTGCCGTCTGCTCCAGCTCAGACACTTTGGGTTCGGCCACGGAGCTCCTGGCACAATCTCTTTGGCCGTTCGTATCACCCCTGGACAGTGGTGCCGAACGGGGGGACACCGGGGAGCAATAGACCTCCCACTTTTTGAATGTGGAGCCCGGCTGGGGAGCCCAGGCATGGACCCAGAGAGCAGCCCCCAGCCCTGACCCCGCCCCCTGGGCTCTCCGCCCGGCCCAGGGCAGGTGTAGGTTCTGCGACCCCGTGCCCGCTCCCCACGGCTCTTACCCTGACAGGTGGGGCCTCTGAGCCGCAGCCCGGCATGGTAAGAGCCACGACACGGACCCCGGGCAGGAGTCTGGGGGACGGGGACACAGGCTGGTGCTGCTGTCCTCAGCCCCACCTGCAGTGCAGACACATGGAGGGTCCACCGCGGCTCCCCACTGCTGCCTGCACGGCTTTTACCATGGGAGGGGGGGCGCTGCGGCTCTGAGGCCGCCACCCCCCCTCAGCCAGATCTGGGTCAAGGAGAGCCACACGGGTAGCTGTGGGGAGTGGGTCCCTCCACCTGCCCTGAGTGGGGAGCCCAGGGGGCAGGGACATGGGCAGGGGGCTGCTTTCAGCCCCCCCAATCCTGGGCGGGGGGGCCGATTCCCTGGCCCCACTCTGGCTTGGATGGGGGTGGGGCCTGGGAGAGAAGAGGAGTGGAGACAGGGCCTTGGGGGAGGGGGGCACCTCCCCCTCCACCAACACTTTTGGGAAGGCTCCAATGCCCTTGCCCCTGGATGTGCTGGCTAGAATTAAAACCAAGATTTGCTCTCACATGGGCCCAAGATAGACCACACAGGCCCGGCTGAGAGCCTACCACCGCCAGGCTAGACAAATGAACTTTACACCCAGGCCAACAGCCTGAGGGCTCAGAGCCAGTCCTCCCCGCGAGTCGTGTGCCCTGATCTAGGAGGGCAAGGCAAGGGTGATTGTTAGAACTGGCCGTATCATGGCCGTTTTACCGTGTCAGGAGGAAGGGCACACTGGTGGACGATGTACTCGATCATGACTTCCCCGCCCGCCTGTTCCAGATAGCCATGGTGAGCCATCGCGCTGATCACCTGCACCACGGCCCGTTTCACCTAGAGGAACGCAGAACAGAGGGTGAGCGGTGAACTCCACAGCGGCAGCCCCTCGAGCAAAGCAGAGGCCAGGATCCTGGAGCAGGTGGGGACTAGCAGGAATCGCCTACACGAACGCAAGCCAGCGGCTGGGCTACGCTGCCATGCACACCAGAGGGGATTCTTTACAAGCGATTTAAGAGCCTCCCAAGGCTGCACCAGCCACTGCTCTAGAGGGCCACGCGTTTAGATTGAAAGCCAAACCCTGGTGCCTTGCGAGTAGAACCACGCCCTGCTGAGCCGGATTAGCTACAGGAACTCTGCTCAGACCCAGTGCTTGAGAGAGATGGGGCCGGGAGCTGCCCCCAGCCAGCTGATGTCTAAACTAGACCCCCCCCCCCTTTGCTGCACTGACACAAGGCAGGAGGACAGAGGACAAGGATCACAGCAGCCGGTCATGAGAGGGGCTTATCGTCATTCCACATGGGTTAGTCTGAAAAGAGGAACCCACTGGAGGTCAGCAGGGGAGTCAAGTGCTCAGAGGAGGGAGCTGAAGGAGAGACAGAAGGGGACCTCAGAGGGCCAAGGGGGCTAGTCTGAGAAGAGGGGCAGAGAGACAGGGAGCCCCATGGGGAGCCGTGCTGGTACAGCATGGGGCACGTGCAGAGCGCCGCAGGGCCCTGAAGGGGAGCCAAGTCCCAGAAAAACCCCATTCACCACATGACCAGCCGGGAGTTAGGGACATCAGAGGGAGTGTCCAGTTACCTTATTACTGCTGTCCTGCAGAGGAAGTTTCATAGAAGAAAGAATAAAGGGCTTTTTAATCTCCATCTGAGAGGCTGGAAGAGAGAACATCGGCTCAGCCACTCATCACTGACTTCCCTACCCAGACTGACAGGATCACAGGGCCTGGCCCCAGAGAGCATCCAGCACTGACCACCCTCCCTGGCCAGACGTGTGCTTCTCTCCTTTCCCCCCTTGGAAGGGCCATGGAGTAGGAAAGAAGCTGGTTTTCCACCCCACCTAACAAGCAACTGGCTACAAAGCCACCCTGCAATCTCCATGCAGGTTCTGCACACTGAGCAGGCGTGGAATGCAGGGCAGCATTGTGCCAGCAGAAAGTCCAAGCGAACACTTGGCTAGTCTGGGTGGAGTTGCTAACAGTTACATGCCGTGGCTTTGGGAAGGGAGCAGCTCTACTCCAAGAGGCACGGATGAGGCCAGAGCAGGCTTGCCATCCAGCACCAGAGGCCGCTCTGCCATAACTATGCCAGGAGAACAGTCCCGTGTGGTGGAAGCGGAGATCCCGATTAGTTAACACAGCAATAAAGGGTCAAGTTGGCCTGAGGCATTTTGGCTACTAAGGGAAAGGCTTTGTGTAGCGGATTATCCTAGGCCAGGTCTGCTCAGAGGAACATCCGGATGACTCACAAGCTGCCCACCTGTCTGGAGGCTCCCCGGCCTAAGGATTCCTGGCTCCCTCCACCCCCCGAGGAAGAGAGCGCTATTTCCTCAGTGTTGTCTGCCCACAATGGGCTGGGAGCAAGGAATAGAGCTTAAATCCCAAGCCACGCCCTGCAGGGTGGCCCCAAGGTTCCTGCTTTGTGATGCTCTACAGAACAGTCCATTCTAAATAGGATGTTGGCGTAAGGGCTTGTCTGAGGCACAAGGCCGTGAAGGGTGTTTGTCTAAGAGACACGTGCTAGGAAGTTCTCTGGCCTGCGCTGTACAGCCAGCCGGACTAGATCACATGGTCTCCTCTTGCCCCGAAGGACTCAGGGACTGTCTGCCAGAATGTCAGTCCTCGTAAACCCCAGCCCCCAGCTCTAGCTCCCCAAGCACATGGCCCAGCACCGAGCAGGAATTCCCACCTGGGCGCTGGCACCCTGCATGGATACGACTGGGCTGCTAGAGGGAGCTGGTCCCTGTGTTACTTACGGGCGCAGTTGATAATTTGCCTCATGATGATCAGTGTCCCCACCCGTATCCTCTCGTGGTGGTTCTCCAGCTTTGGAAGTAGGAAGCCAAGCAAGCGATCAGGAAACGTACAGGCTGCAGAAGAACAAGGCCACCATTATGGACACTCTTAGCTCAGAAGCAGTCAGCAGGAAGGCCTCAGGCCAAACGCGGCCGACAGTCACCGTAGTCTGACAGGCCTGCAGCCCAGAGACTACAGGTCCCAGGAGGCAATGCTGCCTCTGGGCATGAGCTGGGGTATTCTCCTCAATTTGGTGCACTGCATGCTGGGACAGGCCCCTGCTACTGAAGGCTATGGCTTTACAGTTTGTGTTTCAAAAGCCATTCGAACACCCTCTATTCCTGCTAGCTTGGCTCACGTGGCCAGTACTCCAGTGCAGGGGCGACTCCAGGCACCAGCGCAGCAAGGGCGTGCCTGGGGCGGCAAGCCGTGGGGCGTGGTCTGCCGGTTGCTGTGAGGGCAGTAGTCAGGCCACCTTCGGTGGTGTGCCTGTGGGAGGCCCGCCGGTTCCGCAGCTTCGGCAGCAGGTACGCCGAAGGCACAGGACCAGCAGATCACCTGCAGAAACGCCACCGAATCCGCATGACTGCGGACCACCCGCAGGCATGCCTCTGAAGGCCGCCTGACTGCCATGCTTGGGGCGGCAAAAAACAGAGCCACCCCTGCTCCAGTGGAAGCTGTCTGCTGACTTGTGTGATGCCGCTGCAGTATTTTCAGTATGTCTCCCCCACTGGTTATGCACCTTCACAACCTTTGCTGAACATTCAGCAGAGTTGTCCACAAGTGGACACGCACATCCTCCTCTTCCCAAACCACCCAGCGAGTGGGTAGTTTAGAACCCAGGACCATGCAGGAGGAGGTCAGGTTACGCCTTCCAACATTCAACACCTTGCATTTGTCAAGGATGCATTGGCTGATTGGCTCAGCCCCAGGGGAACCAGCTGAAGCAAGGTGCACGGGCATAAGTCAAACGGGTCATAGGAGAAAAGAAAGGAATCAGAATTACTCCAGCCATCTCAGAACTAGTGTTGCTACTTTGCATAAAACCAGTTGAAAGCGCTGCTCAGCTGTAAGGTTTTCAAGCACACGTGCCAACGATTGGGGGGGGGGGGGGGGAAGTCATCTGACCGTGACTAGGCAGAAGTCTAGCAGGATCCTAATCAAACTACTGCTGCTTTAGTGGCAATTCCACCAGCTTCCTTTCAAGCATGAATCATTCGCAAGGGAAGCTTGCCAGAGCCGGGGCTACAGGACTCAGTCCGTACAGGAGGCAGGGCTCAGCGGTGCTAGAAATCACACCAGGGCTCTAGTAGCCAGACACAATTCAGCTAGCTCAGTCCTTCCCCAGAGCTTTCATCCAGAGGCTAGCAGACCACCTGTGCGCTAGACATCAGAGTGGAGTTCTGCTCGGAGGGGCTCCCTGGAATCCTGCCACCTCGTCTGGCTGCTGCCCTAAGAAAAACCGTCAGGGTACCTACAAAGCCAGTCTCTGTCCCCGCTATCCCTTCCAGCGTACACGGCTACGCTAGAGGGCTAACTGGCATGTGCTGCATTACTAGCCCCTGTCTGTCTCAAGAGGCAGCAGCGTCATCTGCCACCACTCCGCTAAATGGCCCTTAGGAGCTTGAGCAGTGAAACCAGAGGCCTTCAGAGAGCGATGAATTCACCACAGAGGTTGGAATCCTCAGTATCCCTGAGACACGCCACACCAGCAAACTTTCGTACTCGAGCAAAGTCAGCCCAAGGCCAAGTGTTAAATGGCCAGATCTCAGCGAGCACCTCAGTCTGGAGCGCCAGAGAGCAAATGGTGCCCTGTGATCTGCCTGGTCTCCACACGGGACAGGAGCAATCGCTTTCACCAAGCCGGACGCCAGGTGGGACAGTGGGAATGAGAAACTAGTCTGTCCCGTTTCCCCACCCCCCCAGAACTGAAGTCTGCCAAACCCTACTGGACACCAGACAAGGGGAGAAACTGGTTTTCTGCCTTCCCCCCGACACAGCCAGATCTCAGGACTGTGCACTCACCAGGTGGAACTCAAGCCTTCCTGAACGGGCCAGGAGACTGGCTTAGAGGGGGTCGGGAAAGCCCCTTTCCCACAAATGCTGACCACGGACCATGAGAGTTTGCTGTTACTAGGATGGGCACTTCCACAGAGAGGCAGAGAATTTCCGCAGATTTCAAACCCACACACACTGCCGTAGACAGGCAGGAGGTAAGTCCCAGCGAGAGTCCATAGGGGACTCGGCCTTCACCCCTCAGCCCCCTGCAGCCCTTACCAAGGACAGTGAAGCATCGAAGGACCTCGTTGTGGTTTTTTAAACTCAGGGGGACGGAGGACTCCACCGGGGCACAAATCTGTGGGAGAGAAACAGTCAAATCAATGAGAGCCGGGCAGCACCTGACGTTCAGCCCCTATACCAAACCCTTTCAGCTTGAGTTCTGCTCGCAGGCACCGAGTCCACACTCACAGCTGGACATGGCCAATGGAAGAGCCCAGCATTTCACAGTCCCGGAATCCATGCCACGTGCTGCATGTGATGCTCCCAGAGCACTCTGAACATTTGATGATTGTGAAGTAGCCTGGAGAAGCTGCGCGCACCTGCTGGCACAGACCTTAGCTCTCTTCGGTCATTCAGTGCTAGCAGAGTGCATGGGTTCCAGAGACAAGCTGGGGGGGCAAGGGGGGTGCAGTGGCCTTGGTATATGGGATCAGCTAGCTTGTGGGTTTGGAGCTGCTACGCATTTCCATTTCATGTGTAGTTTAACAAGATCAGAGCACGATCTATTTCCTTTGCAAGTCATTGCAGACTCCCTTCTTTTAAATACTAAAAATTGCTCTTTGCAGACTGCTCTAATACGCAGTTTATCTGGGGACCCCCTCCCCATCTGCTCCCTCTCCAGCTTGCAGACAGGACATATTTCCTACTGGCATACCGAAGCAAGCTGCTCAGTGTCTGTACTTGTGCCAGAAAGATCCTGGCTCTTCAGGTCTTTTTGGCTGATACTATTGTATAACTGTATTGGTTAAAATCCGGGACTCCACTCTCCACATCTGATCCCGATAACAAGCGCTTGTGAGCGGCCAGGCTGGGTCAGACCAATGGTCCAATCTAGCCCAGTGTCCTGTCTTCCGACAGCGGCTGGTGCCAGGTGCCCCAGACGGAACGAGCAGAACAGGGAATCAAGTGATCCATCCCTGTCGGACATTCCCAGCTTCTGGCAAAGAGAGGCTAGACACTCAGAGCAAGTGTTACATCCCTGCCCATCCTGGCTAATAGCCATTGATAGTTTGGGGCATGGGTCACTGGCTGGAGGATTCTCTGCAACTTGAAGTCTTTAAACCATGATTTGAGGACTTCAACAGCTCAGACATAGGTTAGGGGTTTATTATAGGAGTGGGTGGGTGAGATTCTGTGGCCTGCGTTGTGCAGGAGGTCAGACTAGACCAGGGGTAGGCAACCTATGGCACGCATGCCAAAGGCGGCACGCGAGCTGATTTTCAGTGGCACTCGCTGCCTGGGTCCTGGCCACCGGTCCGGGGGGCTCTGCATTTTAATTTAATTTTAAATGAAGCTTCTTAAACATTTTAAAAACCTTATTTACTTTACATACAACAATAGTTTAGTTATATATTATAGACTTAGAGAAAGAGACCTTCTAAAAACATTAAAATGTATGACTGGCACGCGAAACCTTAAATCAGAGTGAATAAATGATGACTTGGCACATCACTTCTGAAAGGTTGCCAACCCCTGGACTAGATGATCATAATGGTCCCTTCTGACCTTAAAGTCTAGGACAGAACTAGATAAGTTCCTGGAGGACAGGTCCTTTTTTTAACCCTGTTATAGTTTTGGCCTTCACAATATCCCCTGGTAACGACTTCCACAGGTTGACTATGCATTGTGTGAAGAAATACTCTTTTGTTTTAAACCTGCTGCCTATTAATTTCATTGGGTGATCCCCAGTTCTTGTGTTATGAGAAGGAGTAAACAACACTTCCTTATTCACTATAGACCTCTATCACATCCCCCCTTAGCCATCTCTTTTCCAAGCTGAAAAGTCTCAGTCTTATTAATCTCTCCTCATATGGCAGCCGTTCCATACCCCTAATCATTTTTGTTGCCCTTCGCGTTTCCAATTCCAATGTATCTTTTTTGAGATGGGGCGACCACATCTGCACACAGTATTCAAGATGTGGGCGTACCATGGATTTATATAGAGGTATTACGATATTTTCTGTCTGATTCTCTATCCCTTTCCTAAGGATTCCCAGCATTCTGTTACCTTGTTTGACTGCTGCTGCACATTGAGTGGATGTTTTCAGAGAACTATCCACAATGACTCCAAGATCTCTTTCCTGAGTGGTAACAGCTAATTTAGACCCCATCATTTTATAGGTATAGTTGTATATAGAGTACTATTTCATTAGCATACAGTCTGCATAGGATTGGCATCCATTATCTTATAGTCTTATTTTGTCTGTTAAAAAGTTTGTTTTCTACACGCAGGTCTCACCACCTTCAGTTCCTCTGCTATAGTCACAGGCCTGCTGTCTGACTAGCACATCCGGTAAAACGGGTGTTTTTAGGTACCTTAGTGCAGCTAGCGTTAGACGTGGGGGTTTAGCATTTGAACAGCATTTGTTTATCAGTGTGACGGGCTCTCATATCAGAAACTCCAGCTGGGAGCCTGGGCAAAGCAGTGGTGGAGGAAGGGCACTGAAGAGCACACGTCAGTGCCTTGTGTATTGCCCATCCCCCAGCCATGTGGAGCCCAGGGCACCTGATCTTTCAGGCCCCAAAGGAAAGAAAATTAAATATTAGCTTAAAAATACATTAATGTGATTTAAAAAGGGGGCTACCCCATAGACTGAGGCCATCTGATCAAGGGGCTCAACTCCCTCCCCCACGTATGGTTTGGCGAATGAATTCCGCAGCCATAGGCTGGCCCAACCTAGCCCAGGCCAGGCTGAAGAGGAGCAGGGAGTGGGGGGGTTATCCCTCAGCTCCTGTAGATTCAGGCACCCATAGCCAGGCGTGGGCTGGGGAACAGGAACAAATCACAAGTCAGCCCCCGGACATCACGGGGGGCCACACGGGGAGGCTGAGTGCACCCCTCTGACAAGGCAGCAGAAGCAGCTCTAGGGGTTCACCGAAGTTTCTGCTTTCGACCCAGCGACCAGGCCTGGAGTTAGAGTAAGTCTGGGCAAGTGGCTGGATTCAAACCCAGAATCCCAGTTCTTTCCCAGGCGATTCACCCTCCTTCACAAAGCGGAGCCGTACATGCACTTCTCAGCGCTACAACGGCATTACCCCATTGGAGACCAGCGGCTCACGTCAATCCACTCAGCAGCACCAGAGTCGTTTGCTCGAGCAGAAAAGCAAGTCAAACCAAGGGCGGTCTGCACTTTGCCCATGGTTATCCCTGCAGAGCCCCCTCCATTAGGGCAGCACAAACACGCCTCCAGCTGGTTGGGAGAGTCACCGGACTCAGACCTCCCTAGAGCACCTGGCTCCGCTCCACAGCCATCGCTTGTCCTTCAGGAGTTCGGAAGCACCTCCCACCACCCCCCCGGCTCATTTCAAGCAGTTCTCTCCAGGCCACGTCATTTAGCTCTAGGGCCGAGTCTCCAGCGAGAGAAACAGGGTCTGTGCTTTTAGAAAGGACCACGACACGTGGGAGCAGCGTCAGACAGAACTCTGCCAGTCCAAGCACAAGACAGGGTTAGGGCAGGGTGACCAAGTGCAGCCCAAACCATTTACCTAGTGGCAACGTCCTGACAAAGTCCCTGCCCTGAGGGGCGTAGTCTAGGCGCTAGACACTGAAGGAGGGATGCATAGGAATGGAAGAGGGTTTAGTGCTTTTCCCCCTAAAGTTATAAACACCTGGTGCCATGAACAACCTCGGCATTAACAGAGTAGCTGCTCATAGGGACAGGTCATCAGCACAGATCAGGGCCTGCTCCTAGCACCTGATTCAAGTGGTGGCTTGGCTGCATGCCAAGGAAAGAACATTCCATGGGCTATAACTCCACACGGGAGAGCTGGACACCTGTGATCTACTCTAGGTGATGCAACCGGAGTGTGGCTGAAGCAGCCCAAGAGCACCCTTTCCAGCTAAGGCAGGGGTGGGCAAACTTTTTGGCCGGAGGGCCACATCTGGGTGGAGAAATTGTACGCAGGGCCATTAATGTAGGGCTGGGGCGCGGAGTTCAGGGCAGGGGGTTGGGGTGCAGGAAGGGGCTCAGGGCAAGGGGTTGGTGCAGGAGGGGTGCAGGGTGCGGCAGGGGGCTCAAGGCAGGGGGTTGGGGTGCAGGAGGGGTTCAGGGTGTGGGCTCCAGCCCGGCACTGCTTACCTTGAGTGGTACCAGGGTGGCAGCGGGGCTAAGGCAGGCTCCCTGCCTGCCCTGGGCCCACGCCGCTCCCGGAAGTGGCCAGTATGTCTGGCAGTGGCTCCTGAGGGTAGGGTGGGGTAGGGTATGCGGCTCTGCCGCACGCTGCCCTCGCCTGTGGATACTACCCCAGAACTCCCATTGGCTGCGGTTCCCCCTTCCCAGCCAATGGGAACTGCGGGGGGCGGTGCCTGCAGGCGAGGGCAGCGCAGGGAGCCCTCTGCCCCCACTCCCCCAGGGACGTGGTGCCGACCGCTTCCGGGAGCAGCATGGGGCCAGGGCAGGCAGGGAGCCTGCCTTAGCCCCGCTGCGCCATGGGGCTGGCAATCCCGCAGGCTGGACTGAAAGCCCCGAGGGGCCGGATCCAGCCCACGGGCCATAGTTTGCCCTCCCCTGTGCTAAGGGCTTGGAGGGGAGGGAGCGTTTGTCGAGATTAGATACTCGGGGACATTAAAAAGCTGCAATAGGAATAAGCTCATTTAGCAGCCTGCAAGAGAAAACTGGTTGCTGGTGGGGAAGCACTTGGAATCTTCAGCCAAGTCCACGACAGCTGTCCCAGAGGTCCGTAGTCTGGACAATCCTAGGCAATGCAAACCTACCCCTAGGTGCATCCAACAAGGAACGCTCCCAGTCAGTTACAGACTCCACCACGGGAAGCCAGTGACCTCCCACCTTTCCAACCTCAAAAGAACAATGCACGACTCCCCCCCCCCCGCCCACCTACCAAGGTCTGGCACCCCACCCAGAAAGATCCCAAACACACCACACACAAAAGATGGAGCCAACAGTCCTGCCCTACTAGGATGAAGGTGAAACCTCAGTTCCTGTATATGCTACTGAGAAACCATGGACAACTGGTGCTTAACAGTTACAGGATTAATCTAGAGGTTGGTGCCAGACCACCCCTGTAGGACTCCCACATGAATAAGATGCTCCTGGGATTATTAGCAGTACTTGGTGCTGCTCATGCCTAGTTTTCAACCTTTCAAGGGTTTGTCTTTTCTCCACGTGTTTGTGGATTCTGCCTTTACTGCTTCACTGAGAGTGGGGTGTGACCCTTGTTCAGGACAGCTGGGGCAGGAGAGCCAACAGCGTCTGATGCTGCTAGCAAGGGACTGGCTCCTCCTCTCCCCTGCCAGGGTAAGGGCCATCAGGGAAGGAGCTCTCTGCTAGCAGGAGCAGCTCAGGGCAGCTAGGAGGCACCAAGCCAACTTTCTCTCTACCAGAGAAACGTGCTCTTTGTTCCTCGGCAGCTCGCCCTGAACTGTGCTGGTAGCAGCAGCTGCTCCTTCCAAATACCTCTCGCCCCTTCTGGAACGTGCACAGGCTGGCCAGCCTGGCCCCTGCCCTCAAACCAGAAATATGGTCTCTGTTTAAATGGAGACATTTCTCCTGCCTCATTCCAAATTGGAGCCTGGGGGCTTTCTAGACTGGGAAGTTCCTTCTGCAAGAGGGGGGAGAGTTTCGGGTAGGAGGCCCCTAACACCCCCAGTTCTCAGCTTGATGCAGGTGGCTGCAGCGCTCGGATGGGAACTCCAGCCCCAGACTCGGGATCCCACGTGCCATTTCCTGAGACACCTCTCAGGAAGTTCTTATGAACGTCTGGGCTCACCAGCCCCCAGCCCTGCTGGCCCATCTCGATCCTTACCTGGGGATGCAGGGTGCTCAGAAGGGCATCAAGCTGCGTGTCCAGAGTGCGGCTGCCAAAGTTGACGGAAGCCTCAAGAATCTGGCACAAGCTCTGCTCAGAAAGACATTACAATGCTGCGATTAGCACGAGGAAAAGGAACCGCCGCCCCGCTGGAAATGAAAGGGTAACGACTGGGCGATCAGGAGCAGAGAGACTCCATGACCGGAGACGCTATCCCAGTGTGCGCTGAGCTAAGGGGACGGGGCTGTAGTAGAAAAACAAGTGCAAACATCATCCAGCTGCTGTGGGTAAAGCACCAAGGAGGTTTCTGGACCTCATCCATCTTCCCCCATTCTCCTGCTGCAGCCAGCCACAGAGCAGCACCTCCGCATACTGGCTGCTGCAGCCGGCAGACTACCAACCCAGCCATCGCTTCTCTGCTAACAGCACTCTGTCTTGGGAGGCTCGCCTGGAAGTCCTCCCCTTACAGGCAGCGGGAGCCAAGAACAAGCAGAGCAAGAGGAATCCAGGACAGAAGGAAATACAGTGGTCCCAGCACCAGAGTAGGACATGGGGCAGAGGGAGTGCTATACTCTGCCCCTCCCCGACAAAGAGAGGCACATGGTAGCACTAGCCGGGCCCTGGCCAATGGCAGGTTCAGCCTTTGGGGAAGAGGTATCAGAACCTGCCAATACCACACTGGCCAGCCTCAGTGGTGCCAAGCCAGAGTGTTTAGACCAGGCAGGATTTGTAACCGCATGGCTCTGGGCACGTGACACGAAGGGGAGCCTTCGAACTGCTCCTTGGCTGCCAAAGCCTGGATCGCAGTTGGACTGTGCTGGGCAGACTAGAAGGGCCTAGCAGAAAAGGAAGCGACAGGACTGTGGGTCCTCGAGGGGCACGCGGCTTGTACTGAGCACGTGCACACCCACGGGGAGCCTATCGGACAGGCAGTCTGCTCTCCTGTCCCACCCCCACCCCTGGGAGCACCCCAGTCAATGCTCCAAGGAGCACACATACATGGATTACAGGTAGCTGTGGGGGGACACAAGAGGGGGCCCCTCAGTCCCACAGGAGCAGCGTGCTGAGCCATTTACCTTGGTCACATAAAAGGCCTCCACATGCTTCTTGTAGAGAGCGAGAATTCCCGGCACCAGTCTCGGGAGCTGCTCCTCGAGCTTTTCGCTGGGCATCAGGTGACTCATGGGCCCAAGAGCCTTCACGACGGCGAGTCTCAGCTGCAGGGACAGAAACAAGCTGCAAGTGTCAGACTGCGCAGCCAGCCCGAGCCCTGTGCTGCTAGGCTGGCGCCAACACTGCCCCCACAGCAGCACGACGGGCAGAGGGGTTGGTTTGTGCTCCTCGGGTGCCGGGAGACGGTCTCAGGCGAGCCACCACGCGGACCGAGCCTGCTCCCAGGACCCAGCGAAAGGTGCAGCGGCAGTGTAAGTTTGCCCACACTGCTCCACCAACCCAAGGGCAAGGGGAGCTGGGTCTCACCGTGCATTCAAAGGAGCCATTGGCACCAGGTGCTGAGAGAGAGGGTGGATGGTGTAGCCAGGCCACCTTCCGTCACGCCCGCATACAGCTAGATGAAGCATGCCCGGTTTCTTCCTGCATAGGGTTTGGATGTTGCCTCCTCTCCCTTAGGTTCAGCTGACACCCTGACGCTAGCAAGGGGTGCACACAACTCTCCCACTCCAAGCTGCGTAACTTAGGGACGGAGTGACAACTACAGCTGTCCCAGAGGGCAAACACTGGCATGGCATTAGCGAGCAAGACAGGCGCTTTTTCAGCCAGTGTCTTTAGGGTGGGATGGTGGAGAAAGGCAAACTACAGACTCCTGCATGAGCAGTGGGAGGCCCAGTCTGACAGTGGAGATTTAGGGGGAAGGGAGAAACCCACTGCCACGCAACTGCTCAGGGCTGTAGCCACACCACGCTACCAAATGACACAGCCGCACCTTGGCCTCCCGGCTCTGCAGCCAGATGTTGAAGAGCACATCGTAGGCGTTGAAGATCTCATTGGAGAAGGTGTCTTTCCTTACAGTGGGGTCAGGCGCTTTATCCAAGTTCGCCAGGTATTCCTGGATGCTCTCACTGAAATGCTGCAGAGCTACAAGACACAGATTTACTTACATTTAGATCGATATCACACACACACACACACACACACACACAGTTAAAGTTAACAGCAGGCTTTCGACTGAGGTCTGAGATGCTGCTGCTGTTTGAGCAATATCCAGCGTCCAGGTGCTGGAGCAATTCCCCTGTAACACTTGATTAGCAGAACCACCCCAGACCTCCAGCACTGAAGGCGTAGCCCGTAGGAGAGGTCTGCAGCGGTCACAAGTCGACAGGATGCTTTTACTGGCCTGCTCCTGTGCTTTAAGGCCTGGATTTAAGACCTTTAGTCCCCATTTCGGTGCAACAGCTCCTGACAACTGGCATCTCGAGTCCGAAGCGGGGCCTATGTCTCGACTTCGTCCATTTGGAAAGCAAAGAGGAGACCTGGTGTTCAGGCTCTGTGCAGAACCCAACCCAGAGGGTTCCCCTGCAGAGTGGATCCTCCTCATCGTTTGGATCAGTCTTTGACTAATCAATAGGTCTGACCAGCAGGTGGCTGGTAAAGTTTCCTACTCAAATACACGAGGGGTGGGCAAGAAACGTTGTGCCGAGCAGAAAGGAGAGACTGCACACAAGGCAGGTGACGGTGTGGGAGAAGCACACCCTGGTCTAGGACGGGAAAGAACAGGGGAAGAGGGGGGTTGTTTTTAAACATTAAATTAACCACGCTAGCTAGACTGACAGGCTACTACAGCAGCCGTGGCCCACAACCTCCTCCTTCCTTTAAGATGAGGGGCCAGGCTGGCACAGGTTCTCTCCCAGCTGATTCATTTACTCCAGGGGTTCTCAAACTGGGGGTCAGGACCCTCAGAGGGTCACGAGGTTATTACATGGGGGGGGTCGCGAGCTGTCAGCCTCCACCCCAAACCCTGCTTTGCCTCCAGCATTTATAATGGTGTTAAACATATAATAAAGTGTTTTTCATTTATTCGGGGGGGGGGGTCGCACTCAGAGGCTTGCTGTGTGAAAGGGGTCACAAGGACAAACGTTTGAGAACCGCTGGGTTACTCCTTGGGCCAGCCATGCAGTTTTTTCAAGTCCTGCCTTCCTATTTTCAGGGAAAAATCGGGATTTTCAGGTTAGCACAGAAGGGCCCAGACTGTTCACCATGGGATTTCCAGGAGCGCGTCTCCAGTGTGGGGTGCAGAGCTACCCTCTCCATTCCTCACTTTGGATGCCCGTATTTAGTGTCCCCTCCAGCTTCCCTGGCACTGCAACGGAGGAGACTTCTGCCAAATGGGAGCCATTCGGGCATTTTAATCAGTGCCAATGGAGAGTTTGGTGAATTTTGAGGGCTTGCACTTGCTGCCTTCATATCCTTTTACACACCCAACTCCAACACGAACATCCCAAATTCATCATTGGAGTTGAAGGAAGAACATGCTTCCCACCCTGGGGCCCGCTGCTGCCAGAGTCCCTATAACACAGCCGAGGCCCCGGCATGCTGCAGCACAGGGAAATTGATCTGCGCTTACCTGAAAGTTTCCTTTTCTTACAGTACTAAGGTCCACAGAGCCAGCCTGCCCTGGCACACAGGGTACATCTACACTGCCCACTCAGCCCAGACGGACTCTGATTTGAGCCCAAGCCCTTCTTCCATCCACTCACAAAGCCGTCTGACTCAGGTGAGCAAGTGCTCAGGACCAGAGTCCTAGCTGGGGAGAGGGTCAGAGCCATAGTCACTGTGACCCTGGGCCAAGCCCTGTCGTACTGCAGTGCGAATGGCGCTCAAGCCCCAGACCCAAGTCAGAAGGGCTGCATAGTGCAGCATAAGCACGGCTGGGAGACCCCGGACCAACAATCGCAGTGCGGATGCCCAAGTGCAGGCTTGGGAACTTCACGTCCACAAGCCAGAGACCCGGGTTTACAATGCAACGCTGACAGCCAGAGGAGAGACGGAAATGGACATGCAAAGACTGAGGTCTGGTTCACTAGGGGAAGTGATGCCCAGTCTCTGCCATGGAGAAACTGGTTGGGCTTTTTCTGGGGTTCAGGAAAATGGAATGTGAAGGATCCTGGCTGAGGAAGTGGTCTCAGCTGGAGGGACCTCGTGGGGGTGGGGCATTCACGGTCTGCCAGGTCCTGTTCTGCCCCAAGCTGCATGCAGGGATCTGCAGCCATTGTAACAGCTGTGTGGCCTTTAGCATGATGAAGATAGAAAGATGCAGCTACAGCCGCCCAGGCTCTGCTCCCTGCAGCCTCCTTCCCATCACTACTCACCAGGCGATTTGCAGGGAGGGCACCCACAACCAGCTACCCTTGGACATTAGCAACCCCAAGTCTCTTCAAACTAGTCCCCTGGCTTCTGGTTCCCAGTTGTTTAGCTTTTAGCTCCATTTCTAGGCATCATCCGCCCCCAGTGTGCTGGGCCTTCCAGCCCTGACCCAGGGCAAAGCCCCTTTGCCCATGCTGCCCCTCACGCTTGGGAGGAGCTCTCCATAAATATCCACAAAGCTACCTCACCCTCTGCCTCAATGGCTACAAAAACCGTGACAAGGGTCAGGCCTCTGGTGCAGAGAGGCCTCTGCATGCCATGCGGGCCAGTACTGTCTCCTTGGATCCAGGCCGAGATGGAAGGGTAAGACACCGGATGTACTCCCATGTATGCTGTTTGGGGCAGGGGCCATTTCTGTTCTGTTTGTACAGCACCTGGCACCAGGGAGTCCTCAGCCCTGACGAAGGTGCTACGGTAGAGTATACACCATGCATCAAAGTAGTCCCACTAAGCCAGTCAATGGGGCAAGCACAGGCTTAAATCAAGCACCTGCTTAAGTGCTTTGCTGGCCCAGCCCCTGGGAGCGCCCAGCCCCTTGCGTACGACAAAGGCCGTGTTCTCTGAGGAATGAGCACAGGACAGGGAATCAAGAATGCCCAAGGGGTGCTCCGTGCCTTGATGCCAACTCACTGCCCTTTGCCTAGTCACTGCCCATGTGCTGCAGCTGCCCTGAGGAAACGGGGAGACTGAATGACCTTCTGCAGAGAGGGGGAAACGAGCGGTCATGGTTTGTAAGACACTGAAGATATTTAGCACTCAGTGCTGCATGGTAACACTAGACGAGAGTGTCATTCTACTGGAAAGACAAGCTGAATGCATTAGAATCAACTTCTTCCTGGCGGACTCAGTGGTGACTAGCCAGCAACTGCAACCCTGCAATGCCATCGACAGCACCGACTCGAGCACCAAATTGCTGGCTGAGTGAGGCACACGAGGGATATTTAAACGAGCTTCACATACAACTACAAATATTTTTCCTCCTCACAGAAGAAGTTTTACTCTAACTCCTTGGGAAACCTGCAATGATGCATGAAAGTTGTTTGACAATTTCCATTATGCTTCAAACCGTTCAGTGCATCAGCATTCACTTTCAGTGGAGTCCACTGGATTGTGTCAGTCAGCACCAGAGAGAGATTCTGATCACTGCATTCGAGCAAACCCAGAGTCTCTCGATCTCGCTGTGTTATTCCAGCAACAAGAGCTAGTTTCCCAGACTAGATGTGCTGCAGAGCGTGGGCACAGAAATCTCTCCCCTGCAGCTTGAGGGCCATTCAAAAGGTTCTGCCTGACTCCATTTGTTCCCAATGCAGAGCTGCCCCAGCACGGCCCCTGCGTTCAGACAGCAGCAGGTGGGGATGGGCTGTGGCCAAAGAGGCTGCTCGCCCAGCAGGGTTGAGAGCAAAGCCGCTGCATCTGGCAAAGCCTTTGAGAGGAGAACGGTGCTCGCACAGACCTGCCCTTCTCGTCTCAGCTGGCTGATAAAGGAAGCCACAAGTTTAGCGCATCCTCTACTGGGATATTTGAGATGACCATGTCACCGCCAGGTTCCTGGGACGACTACGGGACTCTGTCTTGGGCTGTAAGACAGTAACACAATAGCCCAGTAAAGCCTAACGGGGGCAGGTGGTTACAAAGCGACTAACTCACCAGCCAGAGACACATCAAATTTGACCCAGTGTGCCAGACGACCAACAGAACGCAGGCCCAAAGCCTGCTCTCGGCTGCGTGGGCAGCTCCAGCTGGCGTCAAAAGGGAGACCCAGCATAGGCGTCAGCTACAGCTCACAAGCACGAAAAGCTCAGCTCATCTGGTGGCCAGACCCAGATTTTCTGACCCCCCTCCCCCCAGCTCTAGGCTCACGTTTTCCACTCTGGCCCAGCCACTTCACATAAAGTTTAACGAGTGTCACTGAGCGGAGGCTGTGGGCGAACTCCCCGAGATGTTCAATTCTGTACATCTTCAGTAAATTTCACTCTAGAGGCAAAAATGTCACTGAAAGCCAAGGACACTCGGTCTCCTGCCTCTGACAGCAGTTTTGAGACCAGTGAGCTCACTGTACAGTACCAGCCCCCCCTCCAGGAAGCTTCTAGGTAGTAAGCTCTTTGGGGAAGGACCCAGGTTTTCTAAAGTAAAGTAGAGTACTTTGCCCATTTTAGGTGCAGAGATAATCGGCAGAAAGGAAGTGCTAGAAAATCCCAGCACAGCGATTACTTTGTTCAGAACTGTGACCAGGTAAAGGCCGGAGTTTAGTTCATGCTCCTTGAGGGATGGGGAGAAACAGGAGGGTTCCTAGGCCTGCTGGAAGTAGATTTGGGGAGAAGATGCAGCAGTGATGCTGCCACAGTTTTGAGATTAGGATCGATCCATCAAGCTTTCATTCAAGTTTTCCCCCCTCAGTTGGCAAAAGGGGACATTCTCACCCCCTACAAAGCTATTTTAGTCCTCTGTGACTTGCCTCCCACCTCAAATTCATCACCCCGCCACCACTCACATCCTTGCCCAATGGGCTTCCGCACTGCCCCCAGCTAGGAGAGAGTTCAGACTCCTTGTCCACTGCCCTCGGTCCACCAACGGTTACATTTTCTGCAACACAGAGACCACGTCCCGAACCAAAGATCCCACTGCTCCCTCCTCACCCATTTTATAGGGCACTGAACAGGCAAGAGGGAGGAACTGACCTGGGTTAGAGTCAAGCCAGTGCCCTAGAAATGAAAGGCTCGGCAGCCATCTCCCAAAGCTAATACTGCAGGTCTGCTCTGAAACAACCCCCCCGGCCTCTGGGCTGAGTCTTTCCTCCACAGAATGAGGGGAGTTCCTTTACAGTGAAAGCTAAGGGAGATACAGCTCCCAAAGACAACCCTTCAGAAGCCAGCACAGCCTCCGTAAAAAGGAGCAAGCCACCTTACCATAGCAAAACACAGACTTCATGTGGTCCTGTTTGGCCATTCCCAGCATTGGCAGCATGGTCCCAAGGATGGAATTTAAGAAAGGCACCATCCCAAACACTGTAAGGGAAGAAAGGAGAAAGTTAGAGTGGAGCGAGGTGAATTGAGGCCGGGATCCTGTGGAAGAAGAACAGTATACAGCCATGTAGTTACAGACGGTCTGAGAATGCGTATGTGGAGCTGATCAAATGAAGGTTGAGCAAGCAACTTGCTTTGGCATCTAACATTTGAGCCCCTGACTCTGCGGCCCTGACAATCTCATGTGGTTTGCGTGCTAGTTCTGAAACAGAAAAAGGCCAATTTGGGGATAAAAAGGAAGCTGCCAATTTCAACAGCTCAGGTACAGAGCCTACAACCCCAGAGTTATAAATGGAGTTTCAGCAGCTCCCATCCCCTCAAGTGCCTGGAGTTGTATCAGCTTAGACTGTCCCCAAGACGCAGGCATCTGACCAGCCAAGAGCCACTTACTGCCAGACATTTCATTAGCCAGCAGATCCATGTGGATAACAGCAGCTCTGGAATCTGTGGAGCCCAACAGCAGGCTTTGGACACTGGCCTATGGGACATGCCCATAAGAAATCAGGGAACTGTGGTTGAGGTTAGATTACCAGAGTGGTGGCTCTCAGCTTTCCCAGACTATTGTGCCCCTTTCAGGAGGCTGATTGGTCTTGCATACTCCAAGTTTCACCTCACTTGCAGAATCAAACATACAAGAGGGTCCCAGCACACTAGGGCTGAACAAAGGCGGGCTGTCTCCTTTTTACCATTATTATAAAACTAAATCAGCTGGACTATAAATATCGCACTTACATGTCAGCGTATAGTCTATAGAGCAGTATAAACAAGTCATTGTAGGACATTTGAGTTTGTCCTGATGTCGCTAGTGCTTTTTATGGAGTCTGTTCTAAAACTAGGCAAATATCTAGGTGAGTTAATGTACCCCCTGGAAGACCTCTGCATACCCCCAGATCCACTGTACCAGAAGATAAGAACAGAACGGTCAGACCAATGGTCCATCTAGCCCAGTGTCCTGTCTGCTGACAATGGCCAATGCCAGGTGCCCCAGAGGGAATGAACAGAACAGGGAATCATCAAGTGATCCATCCCCTGTCGCCCATTCCCAGCTCCTGGCAAACAGACTAGGGACACCATCCCTGCCCATCCTGGCTAATAGCCATCGATGGACCTATCCTCCATGAACTTATCTAGCTCTTTTTTGAACTCTGTTCTAGTCTTGGCCTTCACAACATCCTCTGACAAGGAGTTTCACAGGTTGACTGTGCATTGTGTGAAAAAAAAAAAAAAATACTTCAAGGAGGTTTAAAACAAAGAAAAGGAAGTATTTTTCCACATAACATAGTCAACCTGTGGAACTCCTTGCCAGAGGATATTGTGAAGGCCAAGATTCTAACAGGGTTCAAAAAAGAACTAGATACGTCCATGGAGGATAGGTCCATCAATGGCTATTAGTCAAGATGTGCGAACAATTGGTTGAAGGCTCAAGCTCAAAGAGTAGTTATCAATGGCTCACTGTCAGACTAGGAGGACATATCTAATGGGCCCTGAACAGACCCTGTGGGACCAGTACTACTCAATATTTCTGTTAAGGACTTGGATAATGGAGTGGAAAGTATGCTTATAAAGTTTTTGAATTATACAAACTGGGAGGGTTGCAAGCACTTTGGAGAACAGGATTAGAATTAGAGAGGATCTTGGCAAATTAGAGAACTGCTCTGAAATCAAGATTAAATTCACTAAAGACAAGTGCAAAGTACTACATTTAGGAATGGGGGGGAAAATCAAACGCACAGCTATAAAATGGGGAATAACTGGCTAGGCTGTAACACTGCTGAAAAAGGGAAACATGGGGGTTATAGTGGATCACAAATTGACTAGGAGTCAGTGTGATGCAATGGCAAGAAAGGATTAATATTCTGGGATGTACAAGGAGAGGTCACTGCCCCACTCTACTCGGTCCTGGGGAGGTCTCAGCTGGAGGATTGCGCCCAGTTCTGGGCCCCACGCTTTAGGAAAGATGTGAACAAACTGGAGAGTCCAGAGGAGCGCAACACAAGCGATAAAAGGTTTAGAAACCCTGACCTATGAGGAAAGGTTTAAAAACTTGGTATGTTTAGTGTTGAGAAAAGACGGCTGGGGGGGCACCGAACAACAGTCTTATGTGCTAAGGGCTGTTCTAAAAAGAGGACGGACAACAATTGTTCTCCATGTCCACTGATGGTGGGAAGTAGTATTGGGCTCAATCTACAGCAAGGGCGATTAAGGTTAGAAAGCTTTTAATACCTAACTCTAAGGGGAGTTAAGCTCTAGACTAGTCTAAGGAAGGTTGTGGGACACACACACACACACACACACACACACACACACACACACACCATCACTGGAGGTTAAGAACAGGCTGGACAAACACCTGTCCGGATGGTCTCCATTTACTTGGTCCTGCCTCAGCACAGGGGACTGGACTAGACAACCTCTCAAGATCCCTTCCAGCCCCACATTTCTGCGTCTGTCTGACCTCTCCGCCAGTGATGCCCTGCCCTAGAGCAACGGTTCCTAGCTGATCACCAGGTAGCCGGTAAAGGAAAGGCTGGAGACAGTAGCACAATACCAAAGGACACTGCTCCACTACTTTTCGCACAAGCAGGGACGGGTGGCAAGAGCGCACATCATGATTTAGTTTCACTTGTGAATTCAACACGTTAACCTGCATGTGCAGGATCTGGATGCAGAGTGTGGAAGGGTGGCTACCTGCTACTCAATGAAAGCTCAGTGCTCAGAGCCCTAGACAGAGGCCCAAAAAGGGGGTTGGAGAGACTCCCAGAGGCAGAAAAGGGTCAGCCAATTCTCCTGGTTCAGAAGAGGAGCGGCTGTGCCTGATCACCAGCATTAGAGACAGCGTACAGGGCACTTCCAAGTACTCGCATAGTCTCACTGGCGCCATGTGTGGCAGTACTTCTCTTGGTCAAGTAAACCTCCAGTATACAGATGGGGAAACTGAAGGCAAAGCTGTTGTGTGTCCTGCCCAGGATCACAGCAGGGTAGCAGCAGAATCAGAAGTAGAACCCAGGTCGGACTCCCAGGCTCTCGCTCCAGCCACAATGAGCTAGTGACTTAGCTTCCCTGCTCCAACAAGAACTGGAGAATCCCTGACTTTCAAGGACACCCTGGACCACACCCCACGAAGCTTCCCTCAAACTGCTGCAAGGCAGACCCATGAAGAGCTGGTGCAAGGTCTGCCCCCAGCTCCGTTCAATTGGAATCCTCATGCAGCAGCCTCGACCTCTCGAAATGGGGCTGTCTGTCCTTTCATTTACCAAGGGCCTGGCTTTCAGCCACCACGGACTAAAGCAAACAGAGCCAGGCAGGCCAAGTTCCGGAAAGCACCACCTCTTCCTCCACGGGCTCCAGGCATGGTCTCCTCAGCCCATCTGGAGGCAGGAGAGGCACGGTAAGCTACTGTATAGCAAACAAGTACATATTCCCCCTCCCCCTTTGGATTAGAGGGTTGAACCTGCAGTGCCTCTTCCTAGCACAGACTTTCCAAACCCTCCGGCTGTACAAAACCCAGTTTTGAGTGAAATCCAGTGTGGTAGTTTATTTATTTATTTATTTATTTATTTAAATAAGAAGTGTGTCAACTGCATTGAACTTCTTTGCAGAAGTTGACCACACCATGGAGGTGGCAGAATTTATCCAGGGACTATTCCAGCTGACATGCTCTCAGAACAACTCTTCTCCACCTTTACCCCCAGCCCATGGAATCACCCGTCTCCAGTCGTCCTCTTCCTAACAAAGAGGTTAGGTGCAGATAACCTACCGTTTGACACAGAGAGGTTTGCAAAAGTCTGCATGATGAAATAATGAGGCAGGATCCCCGGCTGAAATTTGGTCAGCACCTCCTCCATCACTTTGTTGATAAAACGCCCTCCAGCAGCAACCAGGACATTGCTTGCTGCCTGCTGCCAGTCATAAATGATTTCCTAGGTCAAACAGAACAAGACCACATTAAACAAACAGTTACAGATCACCCCTGCAAGATGCTCTGCGCACGACAGTTCTTATTATCCAGGGAGAGCATACGCACTTTCCCACGCTGCCTGGTCAACTCTGCAAGTTCACAGGACGGACCACATACGGAAAGACAGCAGATTTGGGGGGGAGGAGGGCGGCACTGGAAAAGAGTCAGTCCCCAGGCAGAACGCATGCCTACCTGGGCATTTACATGACACCCCTGAAATAGCAGCCGCCTGTCATGCTCATTACGTGTGCATGCAAGCAAGCCAGTCAAGATTTGCACACACACAACTACACATCTACCTAGATACACAAGTCTGGGCAAGAATAGAAGACTGACAATCAGAGTCCCAGGCTTTTCCTGAGAGGACAGAGCCCCTCATGCCACTCAGCTACCCTAGGGTCACTTAAGCAAGGATAAAGGGATGTCAAAGGAGAGAACATTAAAGGAACTGGCACATGAAATTGCAAGCCCATTAGTAAGAATTTTTAATGACTCTGTAAACTCAGAGGTTGTACCATACAACTGGAGAATTGCTAACATAATTCCTATTTTTAAGAACGGGGGGAAAAAGTGATCCGAGTAACTACAGGCCTGTTAGTTTGACATCTGCAGTATGCAAGGTCTTGGAAAAAAAATTTGAAGGAGAAAGTAGTTAAGGACATTGAGGTCAATGGTAATTGGGACAAAATACAACCTGGTTTTACAAAAGGTAGATCGTGCCAAACCAACCCGATCTCCTTCTTTGAGAAGGTAACAGATTTTTTTAGACAAAGGAAACGCAGTGGATCTAATTTACCTTGATTTCAGTAAGGCATTTGATACGGTTCCACAGGGGGAATTATTAGCTAAACTGGAAAAGATGGGGATTAATATGAAAATTGAAAGGTGGATAAGGAACTGGTTAAAGGGGAGACTACAACGGGTCATACTGAAAGGTGAACTGTCAGGCTGGAAGGAGGTCACTAGTGGAGTTCCTCAGGGATCGGTTTTGGGACCAATCTTTTTATTACTGACCTTGGCACAAAAAGTGGGAATGTGCTAATAAAGTTTGCGGATGGCACGAAGCTGGGAGGTATTGCTAATACAGAGAAGGACCGGGATATCATACAGGAAGATCTGGATGACCTTGTAAACTGGAGTAATAGTATGAAATTTAATAGTGAAAAGTGCAAGGTCATGCACTTAGGGATTAACAACAAGAATTTTGGTTATAGATTGGGGACGCATCAGTTGGAAGTAACAGAGGAGGAGAAGGACCTCGGAGTATTGGTTGATCACAGGATGACTATGAGCTGCCAATATGATATGGCCGTTAAAAAAGCTAATGCGGTCTTGGGATGCATCAGGCGAGGTATTTCCAGTAGAGATCAGGAGGTGTTGGTACCGTTATGCAAGGCACTGGTGAGATCTCATCTGGAATATTGTGTGCAGTTCTGGTCTCCCATGTTTAAGAAGGATGAATTCAAACTGGAATAGGTACAGAGAAGGGCTACCAGGATGATCCGAGGAATGGAAAACCTGCCTTATGAAAGGAGACTCAAAGAGCTTGGCTTGTTTAGCCTAACCAAAAGAAGGCTGAGAGGAGAGATGATTGCTCTCTATACATATATCAGAGGATAAATACCAGGGAGGGAGAGGAATTATGTAAGCTCAGTACCAATGTGGACACAAGAACAAATGGATATAAACTGGCCATCAGGAAGTTTAGACTTGAAATTAGACGAAGGTTTCTAACCATTAGAGGAGTGAAGTTCTGGCAACAGCCTTCCAAGGGGAGCAGTGGGGGCAAAAGACATCAGGCTTCAAGACTAAGCTTGATAAGTTTATGGAGGGGATGGTATGATGGGATAGCCTAATTTTGGCAATTAACTGATCTTTGACTATTAGCGGTAAATATGCCCAATGGCCTGTGATGGGATGTTAGATGGGGTGGGATCTGAGTTACTACAGAGAATTCTTTCCTGGGTGTCTGGCTGGTGAGTCTTGCCCACATGCTCAGGGTTTAGCTGATCGCCATATTTGGGGTTGGGAAGGAATTTTCCTCCAGGGCAGATTGGCAGAGGCCCTGGAGGTTTTTCGCCTTCCTCTGCAGCGTGGGGCATGGGTCACTTGCTGGAGGATTCTCTGCACCTTGAGGTCTTTAAACCACGATTTGAGGACTTCAATGGCTCAGACATAGGTCAGGGGTTTGATACAGGAGTGGATGGTGAGATTCTGCGGCCTGCGTTGTGCAGGAGGTCAGACTAGATGATCACAGTGGTCCCTCTGACCTTAAAGTCTAAAGTCTAGGAGAGAGACTGGCCCATCACATCCAGAAGGGCAGCGGCAGCGACTGAAGCGATGCAGGGAGGAGAGAGGGGAAAGAACGAGGAACAGGTCAGAACCCCTGCAGGGATAGCTCAGTTGTTTGAGCATTGGCCTGCTAAACCCAGGGTTGGGAGTTCAATCCTTGAGGGGGCCACTTAGGGATCTGGGGCAAAATCAGTATTTGGTCCTGCTAGTGAAGGCAGGGGGCTGGACTTGATGACCTTTCAAGGTCCCTTCCAGTTCTAGGAGATAGGATATCTCCATTAATTTTTTCCCCCCCTCTCTCTCCCTCTAACCCCAAATCAGAGATGCATATTGTAAGGAGACAACACAGGAGGAGAAATGGAGGGAAGCATCATGGAACGAGCCAGTTAGATAAAAACGAACAGTAACTGCTCGCTTAACGTTGTAATTCTGTTCCTGAAAACTGCAACTTTAAGCGAAACAATGTTAAGCAAATCCAATTTCCCCATAAGAATTAGTGTAAATGGGGAGGAGTTAGGTTCCAGGGAATTTTTTTTCGCCAGACAAAATAAATTATTTTTATATACACACACACACAATAAGTTTTAGACAAACAATTGAGTACTGTACACAGCAATGATGATTGTGAAGCTGGGTTGAGGTGGAGGAGTCAGAGGGTGGGATATTTCCAGGGAATGCCTTGTTGCTAAAATGATGAACTAGCACTCGGCTGAGCCCTCAAGGGTTAACATGTTGTTAATGTAGCCTCACACTCTACAAGGCAGCACCAATAGAGGGAGGGGATGGCCTTGTCAACACTGGTTCTCCACTTGTAAGGTAACTCCCTTCTCTTCATGTGCTAGTATGTTTAGGCCTGTATCTGCAATTTTCACTCCGTGCATCTGAAGAAGTGGGTTTTTTACCCACGAAAGCTTATGCCCAAATAAATCGGTTAGTCTTTAAGGTGCCACCAGCTCCTCATTGTTTTTAGGGAACTTAGGGGAGCTGATAGGGGGGCTGCCAGCCCACCCTGGTTCCAAGCCCCCACCAGCTAGCTCCAATGGGCTGCTCTTTCTGCAAGCAGCGGACAAAGCAGGCGGCTGCCAAACGACGTTATAAGGGAGCATTGCGCAACTTTAAACGAGCATGTTCCCTAATTGATCAGCAACGTAACAAGTTAACCGGGACCACGTTAAGTGAGGAGTTACTGTAACAGAACTAGCTATAGCTTCCAGCTCATACCTTTGACTTGGTCATTTCATTGGATGCCAGAAAGATAACGATCTTGGCCGTGCTTTTGTCCAGATAATCAATGTTATTCTTCAGCACCGCTTCCATCGCCTTCAGGATTATTATCCGGTGGGGGTAAGCCAGCTGAGGGAAACAGAGCCACACACAATTCCAACACTAAATGCAAGTCAGCGCATCAGCTAGATCTCCACCCGAACAAAGCGCTCACCCCCCCTTTGAACCGTTTCAGCCTCTAGGAGGGGTCTGCAGTGCACCCCACATTCCGAGGCCCTGAATCTTTCTGCCTAGTCTGCTTGGTGCTGTTGGTCAGAGCCCCTCCTGCTGACTAAATGCACCTGCGGGACAGCTAGAAGTGGGATTTTCAAAGCAGAAATTTAGCTACAGCTCCCACTGATGTGACACGTCGGCCTCAGCAGAGAGCCTTGGGGTACCCCCCAGTTAGCTTTTGGCCATGCTGCCTGTTTCTGATACTCGCCAGTCCTTACCTCTCAGACTAGCTCGTTTCTTTAATAGAATCTTGGGAGCAGCTTGGACAGACTTTTTAGAGTCCCAGTGATAGTAACCCATATCCCTTTATGCACTGCTCCGGCACACGTGCTCCCCAGGCATCCTCCCGATCAGTACTGCAGCCGGACGGGATTCGCTCTGCATCCCGGCCCTGAAGGCAGAGAGCAAAGCCATACCTTGTCATGCTGCCGCAGATATTCATCACAAGAGTTTAGGATCTCTTCAGGCTCGCTCTCTCCCAAGTAGCACAGAGCATTGTAGATCTGTTCTTGGACTAATGGATCCTTATCAGTGGTGGCATCCATCAGCGTCACGGCAAGTTCTGAGAAAGACACACAAAGCGTGAAACGCGCTTTCCAACACCAGTACAGGAATCTCTGCCCCTAGAAGAGGGAAGAGCCACTGCTGCCCCTACCTCAGGCACGTCTGTTCTCCCCCGAGCGAATGGCAAGCCAGGACTCCCACCCTGCCTTTCCTCTGGGCCATAAGAGACCACGGCTCCGACAGAGCATTCCTGCCACAGCACCTGCCTCTCAACCTTCAATTAGTCTTGGGTGAATCGCTCACCTCCACCCCTTCTAAAAACCCCCACACCTGACCCCTCCCTCCCTCGAGCAGGGTCCGAGTGAATTATTTACCCCCAGCATCTCCGTATACGCGCTGACAGTTCCCAGTTAAGCCCCCTTTATCCAGGGCTGAGGCTCCCCTTCTCCCGGTGGCTCAGCGACCTACATTCTCTCCCATTAGAGAGCTCTCCGCTCCTGTTTTGTCCTAAGGCAGCTTTCAACACAGCTGGCCCCTCAGTCAGTCAGTCGCCTCTTAGTTTCACTTCGCTTTCTGAGAAGGCGACTCTGTGTATGCTTACAGCCGAGCGCAGAGCCCAGACACCGCACAGGTACGAACAGCTCAGCTTAGATGAGCAGAGTGCCTGACACTCGAACGCCCGGCGTATACATCCTTCGGGGCGGGCTCTCGACACACCCGAGCAGGGTCTCCCACACCGACACGGCTATTTTTAGGCAGCCTCTGCCGTTCCCTGAGGCATGTGGCAACACACGCAGTGCCGGTCTTCCACATGCAGCCCTCAGTGTAGACAGAGCCTTAATGGATCAAACACCAAGTCTCTTTGTAAAACAGGTTTTGTAGACCTGGAATTGGTTCCATAGCCCTTCTCTGAACGCTCTCCAGTTTTCAAACACCATTTGTGAGTGCCAGCTGCAAAATCCTTCAGAGAATCCCCTTCCCAATACGGCCTTCACGATCCAGCTCCTTAGCTTTAGCTCCCAAGGCTGTAAGGGTTGAGCCCTCTGTAGCATTGGAGGAGCTTAGAACCCGGCTGCACAAGAAGCTCTCAGGAAAGAGGCCTACACTGGCTCTCAAGGGATGAGCGGAGGGGATCAAGGAAGACTTTCCTGTCACTAACGTCTGTGATGCCCAAGTCTTCTTAACTCGCTGACATCCCCTTTGATTAGCAGCTGTCTGGAAGTGAAAGGAGTCCAAGTCAATGCTCCGGCAGCTGGCAAGAACGGAAGGCCATCCATAGCTGCAGGGGCAACAGACCAGCACTAACATGCCCAACTAGCCAGTTCAGGAGCTGAAAGGTAGGTGGCGGCACTCTGCTTTGGAGAGTGGAAATCCACCACCTAGAAGGGTTTTTATAGAGAGTTATTTATAGCAGAAGGTCCCATTGGGACTCCACAGGCCCCTGTTAAAATCTGCTATCCCAAGGATGGTCTGAAGATTGGGCTCAGGGAGAGGGCACCAGCTAGAGATCCCTACTTCAGCCCAGAAGGTACACTTGTTACTACCTTGTGACCAGCATTCCCCCAGCACTGGTGCACAGCACCAGAAGCATGCAGACATTCAGCACCAAAGAAGTTAACTCTAGTTTGAGGAGGAGCAGCATACTTCTCACCAGACTGAATTAATCCAAAGATTATTCATTGGTGAAGGCTTTGAAAGGTCAGTGATGTTAATGAGATCAGATGGACAGCAGCAGTCACAGAACAGGAAGGATAACATTTCAGATGGCTGCTCCCCGTCAGAGCCAGTGGATAGGAAGGTCTGAGGAATTTCATTCCCTAATACTAGGGTGGGCAGAACGGAAGATCATAGAAGATGTTCTAAGGGTTAATTACTCTCATTGTTAAAAATCCAGACTGAATTGGTCTAGCTTCAACTTCTAACCATTGGATCACATTAGACCTTTCTCTGCTAGAGAAGAGAGCCCGTTATCAAATATTTGTTCCCCACGTAGATATTTACAGACTGATCACGTCACCCTTAACCTGCTCTTTGTTAAGCTACATAGACTCAAAGGAGTTCAATCTAGCACTATAGAACATTTTTACAAGCTTCTCGTCGTTCTCATGGCTCTTCTCTGAGCCCTCTCCAGTTTATCAACATCCTTCTCGAATTGTTGACACCAGAGCTGGACCCAGGACTCCAGGAGTGGTCACAACAGTGCCAAATACACAGGTAAAATAACCTCTACTCCTACTTGAGATCCCCATTTGTCCATCCCAAGATTGCGTTAGTCCTTCTGGCCACAGCATCACAATGGGAACTCATGTTAAGCTGATTACCTACCATCCACCCCAAATCTTTTCCAGAGTCACTGCTTCCCAGGATCGAATGCCCCATTCGGTAAGTATAGCTTGCAATCTGTTCCTAGGTGGTTACATTTAGCCATATCCAAATGCATATTGTTTGCTTGTGCCCAGCTTACTAAGCAATCCTTATCAGGTTGCATCAGTGACCTGGCCTCCTCTTTATTTACCACTCCCACAATGGGTGTCATCGGCAATCTTTATCAGTGATAACTTTTTTTAATCAATGACTTGGAAGAAAACAAAATCAAGTAGCACAGGGTCAAGAACTGATCCCTGGGGGCCCCCCACTAGAAACTCACCCACTCAATAAAGCTCCATTTACAGTGACATTGGGACCTATCACATAGTTCTCTTTAAGCACTGTCCATAGGGCAATTCACTCCGAGGTACAAAACATGACTCTCTGAAGCTCAAACCCAAAAGATATTTAATACCCATCAGCTGGCCATGTACAACCTTGACTGTCAGCTTCTCTTGCTCGCCTCGCAGAGAAATAAAACATGAGGCATTTTGCCTTGACTCAGTTCCTATTACCTTCTGGTTTCTAAAGAGGCGGCATTTTTCTAGCTTCTTGGTCTTCCACCAACTGTCTCCAGATTAGCGAGTCAGCCCCATACTCAGTTTTGCATATAGATCCTTTGCCAAGTTTAGCCTGCAGAACTATAAAGCAGATTATCTGGATCCTGCTCCCAGAGCAAGTCAGTGTGAATCAGATATGGCTAGACTAGGATAACAGAAACCACACAAGGTTTGCTCACCGCAGAGAGCCAGGTAACATTCCCTCTTCCACAGCATGGCTAACTACTGGCAACACTGTTTTAAACACTGAATCAGCCATATGAAGCCTGTTTGAGAAGATGCCTATGGGCTACCTCAAGACACCTGAAAAGAGGTGCTCAAAATACACCGCTCGAGGCTTTGTGAAAATACACCAAGACAACAGGGAGTTCAGGGAGGATCTTTGTGCCGCCCCGAGGAAAGTGCAGGTCGGAAGCCCAGGCCCTTCTGCTCTGAACCAGCAGAGGCGTTGTCGCTCTGCCCTCAGTTGATGAACACCTTCAGCCTTCTCTGTAGCAGCAGCACATTTCAGGTGCTGGGGCTGCACAGCAGGAAGCGGGCAAGCCAGGCCCTGGGGCACAAGAAGCAGGGGTGGGAAGGGAGAACATCTTATAATTTGACTTAGACGGCTCTGTGCAGGTGGACCAAGGAAGCTGGGTTAGTGAGATACAAGGAGTAAACCGATAGCTACCAGATTAGGAAAAACGCCACCATCCTGGCTGTCAAAGTCTACACTACCATGCTGGCCTTGTGCCAAGTGGACAGCCACTGGGGCATGTCGCTCTTTCTCCAGAGTGGAAATTGTTCTGGTCGAACCCAGCAGCCCATACTACTCGTTCAGAGTACTCTTCCCAGCATGCATTGCCTTCCCTCTGTTAACACTGAATTCTAGCTGCCCCGGGCGTCCCACTTGCCTAGCTTTGTGTCACAGATTAAGACCAGAAGGGACTATCATGATCGTCTAGTCCAGGGGTTCTCAAACTTCATTGCACCACAATCCCCTTCTTACAACACAAATTACTACACGATTCCAGGAGGGGCAACTGAAGCCGGAGCCTGCCCAAGCTCTGCCACCTTGGGGGGGGGGGGCAGCGAAGCTGAAGGGCTTGAGCCTGAGATGGGGGCCTGTAACCGGAGCCCCACCAAGGGCCGAAGCCCTGGGCCCCAGTAAGTCCAACACCAGCCCTGGTGACCCCATTAAAACGGAGTTGAGACCCACTGGACTCTAGTCTCCTACCTAAGAGGCCATCAAACTCCACCCAGTAATTCCTCCATCAAGCCCATGATTTCTGGTTGAGCTAGACTAGAGCATCTTTTAGAGCAACAGCCAATCTGTAATTGAAAGTGTCAAGAACCTGAGAATCTACCACTCCTCTTGGCAAGTTGCTCCAGTAGTGAGCTACCCTTGCTGTCCAAGAATGTGTCTTGCCGAGTCCCTCAAGTTCCTCTAGGTCTAACTAACCTCCATAACTAACAACATCTGCCGGTTTACACTACCTCATGGACCACCCTTGTATCCTGCTCAATACTAAACAGCCTAGGATGGACAGACTCCTACCATTTATCCGTAACACTGCATCTAGCAGTGCAGTGCCTACACGGCCCTAGACAGGGATCAGACCCCACCGTGCTCAGCATTCTACAGGCATGAAGCAGACAGTGCCTGGGCTGGAGACTTCAGCAGCTCATGTGGTGATAAGATGCAACAGGTGAGAGAGAGAGAGACAAGTGGGGTGGAGGGATAACAAGGTAACAGTGCAGACAGATCTGTTCCCCTAACTAGTCACTAGTGGCCACCAGCCCAGCCAAGGTCAGATGGGGTGATTTACTGGCACCAGAGCAGAGGTGTGTGTGATGGAAGAGGATATGGTGGCAGCTTTATGACCAGTGTCAGGGAATTTCACTTTCATGCTGTCTCTTACAGATGGGTAAAGTACAACCATGTTTGTGGGAGAAGTAGACAAGCAGACGGCCCAGCCTGTCTGTATCTTGGCCAGTTTCTAGTCCGCATCAGCACGTTACGCTCACCTCACAATGACTTCGTTTCTTTGATCCTTCTCGTGAGGACCTTTGCCAGAAGCTTTTAAATTGGCTTTAGCCCCAGTTCTCCTTTAACCACTTTTGTGCACAAGTTTACACATTGTCTC